ACGTATTATTCTCTTTTTTGCATAATTCGTTTGTCCTTTGGCGCATTGCGTAGGCCATCAATGTGCTTGCCAAAGGGCATTGCTTTTCCATTGGAATGCAATTGCGCAATAAACATGACAAAGAAACTCAATTAATTAGCACACCGCTTTGGTTAATGCATATTATTTGCGTTTAATGGAATTTATATTGAGACATTTTCTTTATGATGGTTGAAGGCTAATTTGGTGAGACGAGCTTTTTGCGGAATAAGGTAGACATTTTTTGCAGATGCAAAACCAGTTGGTTTTAAAAATATTCCTCTGTCAGGAAATTTATGGGACAGTGAGACAGTGATTTTAGGAGGTTTCTCAATCAATAGGTCTTCATGAGATCCACGCGAGCAGGCGGAGTCGCATTTCTATCTCTTGCGGAGGTGAAATATCAACTCGAAGATGTTTTGTGACGATCTCATAAGCATCGATAAGATCTTCCAGTCATTTATCAGCAAATAAATTATAAAAAAAATGACCCATTGAATGCACGTGGATTGACGAGATCTGCACAGATCATCGCGAGATAATTGGACAACATTAGAAAGCTTTTCATGCAGTAATTAATTCCATAATCGAGAGCCTGAGTGTCGCGTATTTTCTTTCATCTAATTTAATGGATTTAATTGATTGTTGTGCAATGGTTAAAGGACAAAAATCCTACAAATTTCTCTAATTGAAATTCTTCAGTGCTCTAACGTAACATGGTGATTTCATGGCGATGTTCACGATTTCACGTACAGTTTGGCTACAAAGTGTTGAAGAAAAGGGCAAATTTTGTGATGATAGAATAGATCTAGAAGTCCACGCAACACTCCAACTTCTAAGTCAGTTTTACTCCTCTGCATTAACATAGAAGATCATAAAAATATCTAGGCTGACATTTTTATGGGTTTCTCGCTGTACCATTTACAGAATTGACATACAGTTCATTTTTTTGGAGATCTCTTAACTCTCAATTCCAAGATTTCCCAAAGAAGCTCAGGGTCTTGTGAAATACCATAATTTATTTGATATTTTTTATCAACAATAATGGCAATAAAACCTATGGATTGTTGTCTTTTCATCACACTCTTCATTTTGTCATGGTTTCTTCTCTCTGTTCTTTTTTTTCTTCTTCTTGAAATTGTCTTCACAACCAACTTCATCTTTGAGTAGATTAAAATAATCCACATTTCTGTCTCTCTCCTTGTCTTGTCTTTTTTCCCTCCCGACAGCATTCAGGCACTGAATGAATTTTCATAGTTAGTCTCACTGTATAAATAATATTTTGTCGTGATTAATCAAACTTCATTGGCGCAGAGGATGAGCTTTTGACCATTTCTTCGTCTTTCTCACCAGTGGAGACAAATTTCACAAGAAGAGAAGTAATCTGAGATCTTGCCTCTTTCATAAACTGACATTTATTAATAATAACGAATACTTAAATAATGTGAGTGTGCGAATTTTTGTGCATCTCCTGTGCGACCTTAAATTCCCCTAATGCATTTATCGCGAGGCATTCCCGCTATCGTGTTATATCTTTTGTGCAAAAAGTGTGTCTAATTGAGGTACTTTATTCTACATTGGACATATCATGGGCATTTTCCCAAGAAAAGCTACACGAAGAGCAAATAAAGAGCCACTGAGTGGAAAATATGGTCAAAAATAAAATATGCTTGCACAGTATTTTACAAAAATAAATTACGATAAGTGCCTTTGCATGAGAAAATCGCACATTTATGACCAGTGTATATTAAGTACTCTTAAGAGGAATTAACATAAAAATTCAGTGCGGAGAAATAATTAATTTCTGAGGCTTTAAAATCAGTGTTTAACAAAATTGTATGCTCACCAAAAAGGCACTCTATTCGAAATGTAGTCTCGTGATCAGCGAAGAAGTTCATTAATTGGCCTTTCTCGTGAGCACAGCAATGCTGGTCGAAAAAGCATGACTGGCGAAAGAATGCCGTGTGAGAATGTGTCGTAGAACATGATTTTAATTTAGATCATGCGATAGAGGCTGAACCTTGAGGTTGGTTTGCACATTTTGAGTGCGTCTACACATATCACAGGTGTGCAAATCCTCGGCATTCGAGTATTTTTCTACCCAGAGTCGCCTTATTAATTTGTAACACACACCATGCAGATTAGACAGCGTGTCGTCAGCCTTGAAGGCAGTGGTCTTAGAGCCAACCACACAAGAGGAATTTCTAAGCTTACGAAAGACGTCTAATTTGCATGACACAATTCCTGTACAGCTTCGCCCAAAAGTGGTTCTCATCTCTGGCCAATGATATATTGGAATTGTAGTGAAATTGCCTTAAAAATGCATCATCTTGTCTCGAGCCTAACTAACTTATCGCACGAATCACAATTGCAGCGAATTCAAGATAATGGTGAAGAGCAATAATATTTATATCCTGTGGCATATTAATTCACTCGATGGCGATGGGAAGAATGAAGAAATCCCAACATTTGAGAAGACATCCAACTTATTTATTAATACGGGAACTACATTTTAATTTATCTCCTCTGCACAATGTTGATCGATTGCAGGGTGTTTCATGAGTGGGTTGGAAATTTATCAATTTTTCGTGTGGCAATATAAATCATAGCACAAGTCATGTGTATGAAAAAGTATCTCAGAAGTAATTAAGGGATTTCGCTCACCTGTTAATTGGTTTGTAGGCGCTTTCGCGGGTATAGAATGCTAGCTGGCGCATTGGCTAATATATTCAGTCATATCTGCCATATTTGCGACAGATACAATCACCCTGTATGTTAATAAATGCATTTATAAATATTGTCGGCATCCTATACAAGAGTTTTACCAGTGGTTTTGTGCCTCAGAAATATATTGACAAGTTATTACTAATCGTAGAAATTATCACATAAACAATTCACACGCGCATTTCAAAGAGTGGCTCGCTGCATAAAAGCTGGACATAAAAGTAATACAATATGCGCGAAATAGTTGAATGGATTGGCAATAATGCATTGGGCAGATCATGGGAGTTGATCGCGCGATCTTCGCTCTTGTGGTGTCAAGTGATCATCGGCCGTGGCGATGCTTTTAAATTGAACTGGCTTGATGATCCTCAGGATGGTATTAATTGCTAAGAGGAAATTTGCATCTTGTGAGTCTGCGCGGAGAAGGAAATGTACTTTCGCAGTCGGGTCAGGGTGGGCAGGAAGGAGTAATTTTCGGATAAAAACCACACCTTTTTGCAATATTTGCGGTAGAAAAAGAAGCTAAAATTTATGCTCATGGTGTGTGGCATACAATAAAAGTAAATTGTCTTTTTCAACATATATTCTCCTGGGTTGTATAGGAAGGTATGCCACATTTGAGCAGAGTTTGAGGGTTAGCAGATGAGAATCGACTCAATAGTGTTCCCACTGGATAATTATGAGAGATTAAGACTTATTAATAAAACTGTTTACAGCTTTTCGAGAAGCTATGGCAGAACGCGTTGTGGCCAGAGAAGCTGGCAACAGAAAACGACTTAATAGTTAATTAATCGATACAGAGGTGGACTATGTGGAGGATTTTATATCTTGAGAATCAACTCATTGACCGACATTTGCCCTCTGGTCATTGGACACTCTGCAATTCCTCCATTCCCAGATGCATTGTGTTCGCTGTGTTGTAAACTCAATCCTAGGGAGAATAGCTCAAATACTGTCCCCTTTCACAGAGAACTTCCTCGAATTCGATGAGAACAACTTCTAAGTGTCCGATGGCGAGGAATGACGCGAAATTCTTCCTTCCATCGCTATTGTCGGCTCATTGAGTGTGCCAAATAGCTACAATATCCAAGACATAACTTAATGAATGCAGCATAACATCGTCTTCATTCCTCGTAATCATGCTTAATCCACATTCGCCATGATTGTATTTCAATATATGACTGATGACTTAATAGTAACTCTCTAAAATTGTGATTTGGCGAGGAAAACTTTGTGATATTGAGTAGGTGCCACACTATAAATTACATTTTGCCAATAAAAATGATCATTTTTGCTCTGGCCAAGCACATGAATTTATTATTGACCGAGTGTTTGTGACATATTGTGCCAGCTTAAAGATCACCACGCGAAAATCCTCTTGGCTGTGCAGTAACTTCTTTCATCCCTCTTAATACCATTTATGCCAATCCTAATAAAATATTACTTGTGCACCTGAATGCCCGACACCACTGAGAATTATTACGAATGGCGTGGAACATCAACAAGGGGAACTTAAATAGATATTCACTCTGGCATCTTGAGAGCCTTATGGGCTCTTTTTCACATCTCGCGCGCCTTCCTTCGACGAAGGTGGAGACAACAACATCCAAGCGAGTCGTGGAACTCTCAGTGTGTCTCCAGTTTTGCTGAAAAGCTCGTGATTAATTGTCTTGTGATATTGTGACCTCGACAAGGTGGTCTACTTTTCCCTATGCATGGAACTTCCTGCGAAAGCTCGTGTTTGCTTATGAGGTGTACAATGTTGTCGCAATTAATTTGATCAGCATCTCTCCTATGTCGAAAAATGCACCTTCCCTATGGTGGTGATGCTGAATCAGGTCCGAAAATTGAGGTGAAAAAGGTGTGACAATATATTATTTATGCTTCACAGCTTCATACAATTCCAATACAATCCACACACACTCCTCACATTTGAGATTATCCATCGCTGGCTGTTGTGTGGAGCGAATGAGCGAAAGATGGGGAGACGTGGGCAATAAATGCAGTAGAATAAATTGCGCTCCGCGGACGCGTTTGCTATTTCTTCACTGTGCGCGATGAAAAAAGTCACTCACCGGGCAAATTGGAAGCTGAAGAATTCCCTCCAGTTGGCAAAGCACTCGCGCTAAATGAGAGATTTCCTCGGTGTGATCAAAATAGAAGAAAAATTAGTCATAATATTGGCAACATGCTGTCCAATGCGACAGAATGTGTACATCATATGCACACAAATTCATTGCTGACACCTTCTCTTCCAGGTATCCGCCACTGATCTGGACTGCGGCGTCAATGCCATGGTGAACTACACTCTGGTCACCGGCTTCAGGAAACTGAAGGAGTTCGAGGTGAAATCCGCCACGGGTGAGGTCTGCATTTCCGGCGATTTGGACTACGAGCTCCGGACTTCTTATGAGTTTCCCATAATCGCCACGGATCGAGGTGAGTTTCTCCAGAAGTATTTTCACTCACCTCAACTGGGCCACAGATTATATTCTGCATTTTTCTTGCATCTCGCGCTAGACTTTGTTGTCTAAAAACCCAATCAGAGGAGAAAATTTCTGCCACTAAGGTGGCAATTACTGCTGACATAATTTACGGCAAGTTCACTCGAATTAGACAGTTTTTATGTGGAGATTTTTGCCTTTCTAAGTCGCTACATTGGAAAGTCACACAGTTAAACTTCTATTCATCCTAAAGACTCTCGATGTTGCAAAGGTCTTTCAATTTTCTCCGGTAGAACAGTCAGTAATTACCTAGCTTCTGAATATTGCTTGAGAACTATATGAGCACAAAAGTAGAGATCAGTCGGTTGTGTATGAATTGCAGAAAAATCTGTATATGCTGATGTGCCCCTCGCGATTCCCCTGCACGCCAAACAGACGATTTGTGAGTGCCAATTGAAACAAAAATAATGAGAGAATCACGGAAAGTCGTGAAGGGAATTCTCTTGTGATAACATGTGTTACACGTCGGCTCCGCGCTGCAGCCTTACATGCAAAGTGCAGGAGAGGTGCTGGTGATAAAGAATGGGGACTTTGTTGGCTCTTCGAGCGTCCCGCTTATCTGGCCTTGGCTCTCAGACAATCCGCGGAATTCTCACTCCTATTTTTTCACACTTTCAGGTGGGCTCAGCACCACGGCAATGGTTAAGATTCAGCTGACCGACGTCAATGACAACCGGCCGACGTTCTACCCGCGGGAGTACAATGTGTCCCTAAGGGAGCCCCTGCCCTCGTCCTCGTCAGTCACGCCCGTGGTCGTGGTGGTGGCCACGGACCCGGACTCTGGCCGCTTCGGCGTGGTGACGTACAGAATTGTGGGTGGCAACGAGGCGGGCATCTTCAGGATCGACAGGATCACAGGTGAGATCTTCCTGGCGCGTCCGACGATACTTTCCAGCCGGGTGCAGCCCTACCATTGGCTCAACATCTCCGCCAGCGACGGCGGAGGCCTCAGAACTAGTCAAGATGCCGAAGTGTTCATTAGCGTGATTGATTCGGCGCAGAGGCCACCGATCTTCGAGAAGCCACGCTACAACTACTACGTCAAGGAGGACGTGAAGCGGGGCACTGTCGTGGGAGCCGTTTCGGCCACAAGCAGTGACTCAGGTGAGTCTTCAGATTGCAATCTCTTTCTGCCTGATTTATTTGCCAGCCCGGAGAATTTGAGTCCAGTTTCTTCTTCCAGAGTGTCTCTCGTGGTTAGGGCATAAATTTCACCTACTTTTGACCCAACAATTCAGAAACTCTCGCATTTCATCCGCGGTGTAGTAAATATTTCTTTTTAACTATAATTCTTAAAAAGGGCGAAATTCCAACCGAATTGTTAGAAAGTTGTCTAAAACCCTTATGTTGATGTAAATTGGGTCTTATCATATTTCAGAAATGACACTTTTACTGACAGTAAAGTGTTTTTTCGCTGAAGAATAACTCTGAATAAGTTGAAGATAACATGAAAATTTTCTGGGAAGATGAACTCACGAAGTTGGTTAAATATTTAACAATATATCTCGTCAAACTTTTGCTTAGCGCTCAAGTGCACTCAATCTCCATATTGAGCGAACTCATCTCCATATGGCTTTCCTTTGCCCTGTGGCGAAAAAGAGGAGAAACGATGACTATCACGCGTTTCGAGTCTTCTAATTACTATTTTTGCTCAGTCAAACAAATTTTGCGTAGTATTTGAGAGTCTCTTAGTCAAATGGATCAATTAAACGGTCACGGCGGTGAGAGGCTCATTGGCTGAGGAGCTCCTGTGTGAAGATTAATGTGTGACTTCTCAATTCGTGTGTCGGAATAAATATCACGGGGTATAAATGCACTTTATCTAATCTCACAGACAATGTGAAGCACTCGTTTATTCATGTTCACTTTAATTAGTCTTCTCAGGTCTCTCCAATATAATCTATCGGCGAGTCGGTAGTAAGACACAATATAACGTGTGGTAGCTGCATAAAGAGAAAAGTGATAGCAATTGATTCCATGTCCATTTGCAGTTTGTCCGCATCACTAAAGTTATAAATTAATTCATGTGAGTCTCTTCATTCTGCTGCTCAAAATCGTATAAGCATCTTTCCCGCAGTTCGGATCGCGACTTGTGTTATATTGAGAAAAAAGGACTTATATTGTGTACTGCGGATTCCATTCAAGTCTCTCTGCTACTTATCCAATGCCCACCAGAATTGCGAGAGGCGGCCAGGGGGAAGACATGACATGGAGATGGATGTTACGCGAACAAAGGCTTAAATTCCATTGTCGAAGCTCATATCTCAATACTAAATTCACAAGAAAAAGTCTCCTATCATTTGGCATATATGCAAATGTTCTGTCCCTAAGTATGTACAGACTCTAATGTGGGCTTCTTTTGCTGTCTCGCAAGCGTGCTCATTTGTTTTTCTTGCTCAAGATCCATCGTAGTTATAAGAAGATGAAGAGGATGCGCTTATAGGTAGGCGACGTTCCCTTCCAAACTTGTGAAATAGACTTGTTCAATGTGAAAATATCTTTAAAATTTGCCTGTGATTTGCATTTGAGCATCGGGTCAATTACGAGAAACCTGAGAACCTCTCATCAATCCGCTGTACCGCAATTCCACTAATGAGCAGCCCTCTATCGTGCCGGGACAGCAATGAATCTCCCTCATTGAATTGGACAGCGCGCGGCAGTGGAGCCAGAGAAAAAGAGCTCCGGAGGGGAATAATTCTTTCTCGGGTTTGCGACCATGCGAGAAAGATGCAATTTGCACCACGATTGAATGCGCGAAACAAGAGAATATTTAGTGTGTCACCAGAGGATGGGATTGTATATTAATTTTGGCAACACACCCAATTAATTCCGCGCAATAATACACGACAGTAATTTTCGTACATGTCGCCGAATGCACCTTCAACGTCTAATTGTGACAATTTATCATTGTACAGTTTGATGCAAATATTTTTCGCCAGATATTCAATCGTCATTAATTTACGAAGCACAAGTTCGCGTTGAGATTAAAGTGTTAAGTTCCACTGGAGGGAATATACATGCGCGCACATTTTTATTTTCTCTCCCAATATAAACGCAATCGTGGAGAGCATTTTTTGCTGGGCCCATAAGGAGATGCCTTCCTCCTTGCCGTGGCTATATTGTCAGTGTATAGTCCAATGTACACAAATTGAGTGAGACATTCGCGAAGATTGTCGCTTCCATTTGGCTGGGTCCGCCATCGCGGAAAGCGAGCCCCTTCTCTCAGGCATTCTATGCCTGTTTGGAGCACACAATGTGAATATGTATTGTGTTGCGCTGTGGCTCGTTCATTCTTCACAGAGGAGGCTCACGGAGGTAGCCTATCGCATTAATCTCATGTAAATTAGCATTAACTCTTTTCTGTAAACATGAATTTTATTCGTTCGTTCGCGAAGAACTATAAACAGTCGCGCCGATATGTCGCTATTTGCTATGTTATCTACCCGTTTAGTCTCTATCTGCCTCTCTTGCCAACCCTCCAACTCTCACACAACTCTCCTCCGGACTTCTCAAAACTCAAATCATTTAATTTAATTAAAAGGTCGTCGATATTCCTGAGACACACCACACATTGTTTTATTTCTCCATCTTCGCTTCACTTGGCATTTTTTCTCCACCATTTCGCGCTCTTCTTGTTTTGTGCCACCGCGCAAACATTTCTCCATTGGCAATTCCAACAAGATCGCAAATACAAATGCACACGATTGCACACCCAAGCCAAATCCCTTGCTATGCCCTTCCTGCCATTTCTTCTCGTGACATGAAATCCTCATGGCACATTCCTTCTGTCACTGCAGCAGATCTCTCTCCCATCCCACTTTGGCTCAGCCATTCTTTTGGCCCTCTTTCCTCTCCTGCTTCGCCCATTTCCAGTCGAGCATCTCTCTGCCAAGTTCTGCAGGGGCACAATTTTCCTGCTGGTTCTGCACCTTGTTTACGCTCGTTTTCGTAAAATATTTTGACAGTGGGCCTTCCACAAAATGCAGATCAAACCCAGGGATGCTGAAGAGCACATTCACAGTGGTGGGACTCTTTTCAAGTGGCTCTCGAATGGAACAATTTTTAGCTCACTTAATAAGTCTGACTTCCCTGTGAGCGCACTCATTTGAAGCGCACGATGACAGGACATGAATTAGCTCGTCAATCACTGAATCATGAGAAAGGGTTTGACTTTGTAGATTTCTTACAAATTGTGTATATAGTTAGTTCATTTGACACCTTCCAATTGACTGCTGTTAAAATATTTCTGGCCAAAAGAGAGACTCGGAATTAATTGGGCACAATAAATAATGATGTGAAGTGCCATTAATTTACATGAAAGTAATCAATTTCTTCAAACTTCGCAGGGAGTCGAGGCACTGTGCGATACTCAATCTATTCAGGTGATCCTGATGGTTACTTCAGCATCGATCCTGTGTCTGGTAACATCCGCATCGCCAGCCCGCTGGATCATGAGTCCAAAGTTCAGGTTCTGCTCAATGTCCAAGCCACGAGCGGAGATCCTCCGGTCTACGGTCACACTCAGGTGAGTGGTTTGTGTGCAAATTTCAGAGACGGAGTCTGCAATTCACTTCTCTGTCTGCCCAAAGGTTAACATTGACATCGAAGACGTGAACGACAATCCGCCAGAATTTGAATCCAGCACAGTTAGGATTTCTGTCCCGGAGAATGTTGAGCTGGGCACGCCGCTGTACGTCGCCAATGCCCACGACCGCGACTCCGGGAAGAGCGGTGTGGTCACGTATCGGCTGTCGAATATCGCGAGTGGCGGGGACTCGGGTCAGAGTGACTCGAATCTCTTCAGCATCGACTCACGCACGGGTCACTTGACCCTCTCTCGCCACCTCGACTACGAAACCACGCAGAGGCACTCGCTGATCGTGACGGCCACGGACTCGGGCGAACCTCCCTTGGCCGCCAATCTCACGGTGCTGGTCGAGGTGCAAGATGTCAATGACAATCCACCCGTGTTCGAGCGCAATGAGTACACCGTTAAAGTGTCCGAATCGACAACCATCAATTCGCAGGTATGTGAATTGCAGAAAAGTCGGAAATAGACTAGCGCGATGCTCCATTGAAATATTTCACTGCACATCCGTTAAGGTCATGTGATGTGTATTAGAGTTGACTCAATGTGCTGCAGATGGTGTCCAATAGTGTCTACAGGGATCATTTTCAATTGTGCATCACTGGACATTGGCGTTCGCCGTGTTGGATACAAGAGAAAGTCGCATCTTGCACAAATTCAGCTTGACTTCAGCTAGTAAAGTTTTATGAAGCCCTATAATTTACAGGCATCCAAGTGATAGATACTTATCGATTATAGCCCTTGCTCAATCACCGCGGCTTTCCCGCAACCTTCTGCCGCTCTCACGTCAGCACCTTTGAACCAGTAACACATATCTGTCCGTGATCTTGCAGATCGCACTTTTCAATTTCGAATCCTTAATTACATGAGACTCGCGGCAATGTGTCCATCATAAATCAATTAGTTTATATCACGCAGCCGCATAAGGTGATAGCGGAAGAGCGTCTGCTCGAAAAATTGTAGCCTTACACATTAATTTGCACCAATGATAATTGATCAATATTGTGCTGTCTGATTGCAGATATTGCAGGTCGCCGCCGTTGACCTGGACACTGGGAACAACGCACGACTCACATACCGTATTGTTGGTGGCGGTGGCGGTGATCAGATTGCACATCTGGAGAACAAAACGACTGCCTCACGATACGACGAGGATGTGAGTGAGGTATTCGGCATCTTTCCCAACAGTGGATGGCTCTACTTGCACCGTATGCTGGATCGTGAAACACGTGGTCGGTATGAGATAACTGTTGTGGCAACTGATAACGGTACACCCGCGGCCACGGCCACAACACGTGTCATTGTCAATGTCCTGGATGCCAATGACAACGATCCGCGCTTCTCACGTGACAACTATGAGTTTAGCGTGGAGGAGAATCTGCGTCGGGGTGCAATTGTTGGCCTCTTGGTCGCCACGGATGCCGATCTGGATGCAAATGCAGCCATCAGATACACGCTCATACCGAGCAATACCAGCTTCCAAGTCAATCCCATGACAGGTGAGCAATGAGTCTAACCCTTGAAGACATTCCTCCCAGTTGTCCGTGGCGTGAACTGGCGGATGGCGATTTATAGAAATTAATACAATGTAGTGTAATATGATCATCAATTTGTGGGCAATGCATTGCCTGTCTATGGGCGAGCATGAGCAGAAGAGTGGGTGATTTAGTTTCGCGATCGCCATTGTTCGGCCTGAAAAATGCCTTCGTCGACGGTAATAAGTGAGAGCGATTAATTTTCCCTATTTAAACCGAGTGCGGCTTTGTGAGTTCTGTTGAGCAACAAAAGGAACTCCCCTCGGACATTCCAGCATCCACAAGCGCAAGTCAGCGAGAATCTTCCTAATTTCGGTCCACCAGTGCTTCTCAATTACACCGCAGGCCAATTATGCAATATATTCATTAATTGATTTCGCCCATAAAATTCATTTATAAATCCAATAATTTTATTGACATTTCATTGGCATCGCGTGAATGTGAAAGTTCCACACAATTTGCACCCAACAGATCGTGCTCATTGATCACTCTGCATGATTTTATTGCGCTGACACGCCTCCAGACAATGCGTAGGGTGGCCAAACACTACAATCCATAGTGATTTTTACAATTGCCCAAATTATGACCTGCCAAAGCAAAAACTCTGATTTCTGGCTGTCTGCGAAATCTCTTTCGCACCGATGTTATGTATGAGAAAAAGGCTTGTTTTGCATTTTAATTGCACTTTCGGGTATTGTTTTATGCCATCGATGACATTTAAATAAATCTCAGCTGGTAAAAGTGAAATGCGCCTTTGACGAACTTTCAATGAAGCACCTCGTGATTTTTAGGTCATCAAACTGGAATCTTTCAAACCTTCAAAATTTTATTTCCTTTATTTCAAGTATTACAATTGCGCCGTTGAGCAATTAAATTGGGAATTTTATGACAAATTTTTTGGTAAATATGACGAGAGAATAGCCTATTGTTTAATGCTCCTAAGATGGTGGTTGCGAAGGTTGAGAATCGCTGACCCAATGCTCATCGCACTTCTATAAATATATCACGTTGAGTCCGCAGTCTGTTGTTGCCCTTTATTCAATGGCAACATATAGTATTGCACATCAGGCGCATTCGCTTAACACAGACGATTGAAGATGGGCTTGAGAATGGTCAGTCCAGCAGAAGAGAGCTGAGGATCTCACTTTCTCCCTCTCTCGCGTTCTTGGCAACAGAATGGAAACACATAATTAAGACAAGGAATGCAAAACAAATGCAATATTATTTTAAAAATGTAATTAATGGCCTTCACGAGTAGATGAATGGTAATGAAAAGCGCAACAAGAACTGAGAGCGGCATTTGTGTGCAGATTCCAGCATTGAAGTCTTGCATAGGAACTTTAATTCGCATGCAATATTCTTTCACTATTTCCAAAAATCACTCACTTTGCCACAGAGAAGAGAGATTCTCTGAATTGCAGCATACAAATTAATTGTACTTTTCCAATTTGGAACGAATGGAGTTCCCACACTCAACAATAAGGTCAAAATCTCGGCTTTTTGCCAGTGAGTTCCTCCTTTGGATTGTGATCTCGAGACATGTGAGCAAAGGAGATCGGAAACGGCCCAACTCGCGAGAGAGCAACGGAGAATCGCAAAATTGCATGGAAGGTGATAATTTTGGCAGCGTTTTTCACTTCCACATTATCATAGGCTTTGTATTTGATACGCAAGAGGCAGCTATTAATTAAATTGATTTCCTGCTACAGAAGCTCTGCGCCTCAGCGTGTTGGGTGAGAGAATGAGATGTACAAAGGCGACCCAGTACTTTTGCCAAAGAGAATTGCGTGAATTGGAGCCTCAACCCTACCGCATTCATTGAACGTGATTGTCCGTCATGTATTTTAATAATTGCACCACTTGTCTCCACTTTGAATCGTGATTCAGCAATCTCTCCCTCTTTCTCCCCTGCCTCATCTCTGCACACAGTGCTCACCTTAGCGCTTGCCCTTCTCATCCGTTGCTGTTCGCCAGCAAATTTTTGCGATTTGTTACTGTTTTCTAGTTTTGTGCCACACGAACCAATTGAAATGCAACAGACAGACGGTTGAGGAATCTAGAGATGAAGGTGTGAGAAATTCCCCGGGAAATGAAGAATTGAATTGAGAATGTAGATTTCACGGTCCTTTTACAATAATAATATTTCACCTCATTTTATATCAATTTATTTCATATTTCACGGATTAAACAAGTGTTCTTGTAAAATTCCCTTCTCAATCGGTTTTTTAAACATGCTTGTCTTCCTTCTTTCAGGTGAAATCATAACCCGCGAGCCTCTTGACCGGGAAACCAGATCGTCTTATGATCTCGTGGCCGAAGCTCGCGATCAAGGTACGCCTTATCGCAGCAGCAGAGTCTCAGTGCGCGTCCTAGTCACTGACGTCAACGATAACGCTCCGGACATCATTGATCCTCAGGAGGATGTGGTCAGTGTGCGTGAGGAGCAGCCGCCGGGAACTGAGGTGGTCAGAATCCGGGCAATTGATCGGGACAACGGATACAATGCTTCCGTGTCATACTCGATTCTGAAGGGTCGAGATTCTGACGGCTTTGGACTATTCTCGATCGACCCTATGACGGGACTGATCAAGACGCGGGCATCGCTGGATCACGAGGAGAAGAGCATCTATCGCCTAGCCGTGGCGGCGACAGACGGAGGGAAGCCGCCGAAGCAAACGGTGCGCCTTCTGAGGGTCGAAGTGCTGGATTTGAACGACAATCGTCCCACATTCACGAGTTCCAGCCTTTTGTTCAAGGTGAGTGAGTCACCCTTTTTGCCTCATGCTTTTTAATTGCTGTCATCGAAGTGATTCGCACAATTGACAAAATACGCAAAGTCACACATTTTTCGCGTTCTGCAAATCCCTTCTTGTGCGGAATGCACTTTTTCTGCAATCCCACCGAATACGGCTCACATATTTTTGCCGTCTTTCTCCATCTTCTTCGTTCTTCTCGGCTGGTCCTTTTTTGCCAATCGCGAGCCCAGAAATTGCTCAGTTCAATGCTACATTGTCTCTCATCTCCTGTGCTGTTGTCTCCCTCTCGCCATGGGTTCGAAGATTGCTGATTGATTTTGAGTTATTGCGCAAAATTATAGAGACAGCCAGGCCAAAAGATGAGAGATTGCCGAGATTGCTCATCAGTCAAGTGATGATTTTATCCATTTACTCTGATAAATTCGCAATTATTTGGCGGAAATAAAGCCGGAGACGTACAAAAAATGAGTGAGCGAAATTATGTAATTTACCCACAAAGCTCCTGCTCACTGCTGGGGATGAGATGATTGCGATAAGTTCTTGGTCAACATTTTCGGCGCTTTACTGTCAATACAGCGAGTCTTTTGTCTTGCAGGTTCGCGAGGATGTGTCTGTGGGTCACGTTGTGGGCTCCGTTAGTGGCTCTGATCATTCGGAATCCGACAATTTCATCTCCGGCAATAGTCTCTACATCACGTACACCTTAACGTCCATTACGTCTGATGTTGTGGATGGCGCCTTTGACATGGATCGCAACACGGGCTCCTTGATCGTCACGCGGAAGTTGGACCGTGAGCAGCAAAGTGAATATAGACTGGAGATCAGAGCTCTCGACACGAGCGCCTCCAACAATCCTCAGAGCTCAGCCGTCACCGTGCGAGTGGACATTGTAGATGTCAATGATAACAGCCCAGTTTGGCATACGGATCCAATCACGATTGAGATCGCAGAGAGCGCGAGTGTGGGATCAGTTGTCTACAACTTCTCTGCCCACGATGCCGATGAGGGAGTGAATGGCGAGATTCAGTACCACATGGTCAAGCATTCTCCCGGGGAGGCTGGAACTTTTGAGTTGGATCCGCTGACTGGGAGTCTGACCTTACTGAAGCCGCTGGATTTTGAAAATTGTCGCAACTTCCTCCTTGTCGTCCAGGCCACTGATCAAGCTACGATCGTGAGTGATCGCAGAAATACTTCAGTCACAGCTATGATCACTGTGACTGATGTGAATGACAACGCCCCTGCTTTCGTCCTGCCTTCGTCTGACGGAGAAGTGATCTATCTCAGCGATTCAGCTACTGTAGGCCAGTTAGTCACTCATATAGTCGCCGTTGACGCAGACAGTGGTGATAATGGCCGCGTAATCTACAGCATCGTCAGTGGCAACGACGATGAACGCTTCAGTATTGACTCTGAGAGTGGAAACATCGTTCTGGCAAAGCCAATCATAGGCCATCAATCGTCAGCTAGGCATCTTCATCATGCCACCAATGGAAGAAATGCTGGAAAATACAACATTATCGTCAGTGCCACCGACAAAGGGATTCCGATCCCCAAAGAAAATCGTCGAACTCTGCAGATCGTCATTCAAGGATCTACTAACAATCCACCGCGCTTCCTAGAACCCGTCTACCACGTGAATGTGTCGGAGAACATTCCGTCCGGAAGCTTCGTCACGCGAGTGGGTGCCAAATCATTCCAGCCTGATAATGGTGAGTGCAAAACAAAGTAATAATGAAGGAATTATGGTTGGGATTATAAGTCAGAGTGTTGACGTTGATATCATCAAACCTTTGCTCAGATTTTTGTCAGATTCAAGGCTAGATTCTGATTAGTTGAAGACACAAAACGGCAGCAAAATATCTCGCAAGATATCAACTGTCAGGCAGGGAATAAGAGTGCAAGTAAAAATCTCTCAACATGTGGACAAGCCTCTTGGGCTAATATAGAACCTTTCAGAGCAAGATTACAATGTAAAAAAGAGGCAATTGAGACGAAATTGTACATGAAAAGCGATTTTCATAATTCTTCATTTCATATTTTGATCCGACATTACTTCCATTCTTTGGCCGCATTCTTGTTTTCTGTAGTTGGTTGCGGGGATGGCATATAAAAGGTGAAATAAGTGTAGAAAAAAGCAGAGAGGTAAATTCTGTATAAATGAGTGTGTGTTAATATCTGGTAAAATAGAAGACGACGATCTCGACAGCACACAGCATTCCGAACGATTAGAGACGATGCATTTCTTGGCGAGTAATTATTCTCAAATTATTAAATATGGCTGCTATTTTAACCTGCATTATACAGACAGATCGTATAAAAGAGAGTGTCTTCAGCACTAATCATATCACAGAGCAACTATGTAATATAATGGAGGGAATAAAAGTCTCTCAGCGAGATGAAAACCCTCTTCGTGAGTCGCGCTCTTTCAATTTCCCTCGCGCGATGACCGTTCTGCAGAGTCTTTCACAGAGCGATCGCGAACAATAACAGAACTGAAGATGAAAACACCGATTTTCAATTATCTAACTTTTCAGAAGTTATAAATCTCTTCTAGCTTAATCCCTTCCTCTCAAGATCGATCTCTATCTGGTGTCCACTGCCCGCCAGACATTTCCCATTCGAGATATATTCACAGACGAATTTCTCCGCGAGATCAATATCGATCGCCTATCACGAGAAAGCCAGTCAATTTGCTGATCATCATAGCATCTCGTGATCATCCTCGTATAATTAGAAACCGTATCGATTTTAGAGTTACAATTTGACAAAAATCATAGTTTGCGCGCACAGTGAAATACTTTCTGGGAGGCTGATCTTCACGTGATCGCGAGATTAGGTTTGACAACAGTGGTGAAACTGGTTCTCGCTATGATCATCCTCTTGGGATGCCATTATTCATGAAGTATCACCAACACAGAGGAAAAAAGATTACGTATAGATTACTTTTACGACAGAAGAAAAGTCTTTGAGAGTGGTCTCGGAGCCCCTTTAGTTGGCTTGATATGCCCAAAACAAACGTCTCTGGGCGAGCAAAAACGGCCACGATGAAATTATTGGACTCTGAATTCATACCCAGAGTCCGCGGGAAGAGTACGCACGGCTTGAATTTCAACAGGTCCCATAATATATTGGTCCATTGTTTTTTGTGCGCCGTGTGATGTCGAAAGACAGAGCAAAGAGGGTCCGCGCAGAGGGAAAGGCGAGATCAGCGTCGATCGCATCTCCGAGTGGACAGAAATTGACTTAGATTACATTCCAAAGTATTGCATCTAGTGCTGAAGACTTCAATTTACACTGACGTAGCCATTCATTCATGTAGCAAATGTGCGGTTTGTGGTCATAAGACGTGAATGAGAGGCTGAGGAGAGGTAATGTACCTAGCCAGAAAAATCGCATCCACACTGCGTGGCGTGGCCGAAAAAGGGAAGCTGCGTGTGTGAAAAAAGTAGCCTAAAATTTCATACCCACGATGCGATCTTGCAGATCGAATATCGAAGATCAATGGATCGTACGATTGAAGGCACATGCATAGATGATTTTGGGTGTACGCTTTGCTCAATCTTTTTACTCTGATTATGTACCCTTTTTTCGCCCAGCTAAAAGTCTGTCTGGAGGGCTTATTTAGCATCTGCGCTCTCGATGCCATAATTGGCTTGGCTCACACACTCTATAAATTCACGATCTCCGACTTATCATCTCTCTTCTCTCCTCAGGTGGCAATTTGACCTTTGAGATACCAAATGGAGTGGCCGATGATCACTTTGTTGTGGATCCCATCCGCGGAATTATCACAACACGGGGCGCTTTTGATCGTGAGTCTAAGGACATGTACACAGTGCCGGTGTACGTGAAGGAGTCCAGTTTCTCAGCCAGCAAAGTCAAGTCGTCCGGCGGGAAGGCGGCCACTTGGCAATTCGACGTCGCCACCATCGTGGTGAGGGTGACTGATGTCAATGATCATGCCCCAGAGTTCCGCCCTGGATCGTGTTACCCACTGAGAGTGCCCGAAAATAGCGATTTGGCCGTCATCCACACAGTCGTGGCCACCGATCTGGATGAAGGACTCAATGGAGATATCATTTACAGCATTACAGGTATGCAATGCACTTTTATGACGCACCGCATATCATTTAACATGGCGAAAAGCCACAAAAGTGTTTCTGTAGCTAGAACATCTCCTCCATTCCTATTCCATCATATATTTTATATTACTCCACGCGATCTTCGCACACTCTGCGTGTTTGTGTGACCTTTTATTGAGTGTCATAAAGGAGATTGACGATATTATTAGATGTTGCCAGGGACGCTTATCACAAAAAATTCTTCTTCAGGTGGAAATATCGGCAACAAGTTCAGCATTGACATGCACACGGGCGAATTAACAGCCCGTCCGCTGGATCGCGAGGTCCAGTCGCGCTATACAATTCAAGTGACAGCCCAAGATCGCGGCTCACCGATCGCATATCATGGCACGTGCAATATATCTATAGCCGTTGAGGACCAAAATGACAATGATCCACGATTTGAATTGTCGAAATATATTGCGACGATCGCCGAGGATGTGGCCATCGGCACATCAGTGCTCACCGTGCGGGCCACAGACGTGGATTTGGGCATCAATGCCCGGATCGTCTATTCGCTGGCCAACGAGACGCAGTGGCTGTTCAGCATTGACAATCGGAGTGGACTTATAACGACAGCAGGGTGAGTTATTTATTTGCATTTTTCCTATACTTTTCGGTGTCTTTTTGGCTGTTGTCCTTTAATTTTGGCGTATTATGCACACAATTCAAGACACTTTCCATTGTCATGTCCACAAGATGAAGTGCGCTATCATCAAAAGTTTGATATGAGTACAAGTTTCAAAAATAGAAATTCCCTCGCATGTCTCTAAAACATACAGTTTGGAAATACTTATTACATCTGTAATAAACAATCACGAATGAAGCTGAGAGCGTAGAAAATTGTTTAGAGAGGAATCTCACGAAATTAAACGAATCGCCTTTTGAAATATCACTTGACAATAAATATATATACTGGAATATTTATTGATGAGAAGACAAGATGTATATTCTGTATCGGTGTAGGCAATATCGGAGAATTGATATTTGATTGCGTGGAAGAATACGCAGAAGCCAGCGTCTGTCACTGCATGTCATGGGATGGAGGATGTGAGAATCCTCAAAAGACGCATCCGCGACTTTATCAAGATAATTAAATAAATATTCAGCCCGGCAGTTCGACAATGCCGTAGAGGAGAGAGCAAGACAGTGTGCGCGCCTTTTCCTGCCATTACGCAAAGCGAATGGAACAATGATCTGGGAATTGGGGTGGGCAGGGGAGGCGGTGGAGGGCATAACGTCGCGAAAAAAGTCGACGATCAGTGACTTGGGAATGGGACAAAAAATGAAGAAGTAAAATTGTCGGCGATCGCTTTGGTTTGTCGTTAAAGTGAAGTTATTTTATGAATGCATTTACATGCGTTTTATTTTTGCCAAAATTGTAGAATGGCATTTTTCGTAATTTGCATATAATAAGCGACGACGTCGAATGGTGAATTGGAGGCAGCTTATTTTCTCCCTTTGTGCCAATGTCAAAGAGCCTCCTATTGCTGGACCGTTTGTCTTTCGGTTCCAGCGTCTGGCATTATGTGGGGATGCTTTTTGGTCTCTTGAATTGAACAAGTATCAAGAGATCTTCGGCGGAATTTCCGAAAATGGGCGCTAATAGATTTGGAAATACTATCCACTATTAGATAATAGTAAAATTTGGGCATTTCAAGCTCAAGAAACTCAATCCTTCAGCAATTTAAAAGCCATTGTCGCGTGAAATCCATAAAATAAAACGCTTCATGAATATGTTTTCCTCTCAATATGTAATTCATCAGCATCGCTCCTAAAGAGATCTTGAAACTTTCTTCGGAGTCAAATTTCATGAGAGGCTCCTTCAGACGGTTTTTGCGATTGAGATCGATGTTTTCGTGAATAAACATTCAGGTGCTAAAATCAACAATTTATGCCATTCAACCATCATCTCATCCCACGTCTTTCGTGGGGAATTTACACCGCGCTGAGATCCAATGCTCGCGAAGGTGCGGAAGTGAGTCTCCGCCAAGATCTCAGCACAATAAAGTATCGGAAATAAGAAAGCTGCAATTGGAATTGAACTGGCCAAATGTGATTTTTGGTACAGATGCGCGTAAACTTGTAATAAGAAAATCACGCTTGTTGCACAGAATGTTTGCGATGGAGTTCTTCGGTATTCCGCGATTTGGTCCGTTATGCATGGGAGAAACAAGAGGCGAATACGAGTGATAAATTAGTCGATAGCACGACCACAAGTACCGAAAATTCATCATCATTTACATAAATTGGCTGATGAACCGCGGGAAGTTGTGTTCTTGCGAGCTCTCTCGAATTTCCGTGATCACAAAAATGAGGATGCCGATTGCACATTCCACGTTGGCTCACTGGGAATCCCAATTCTCTCTTGCAAGCGAGCCATGTGGCTTGTCATTTCACTTTCTTGTCCTTCGCCCAGCCAACGTGATATATATCCTCTTGTCAGATCGTCTCGAAAGCCACTGTCTTGCGTCCTCCAATGCTGAGAGGGATATAAAAAGTGTGGCGTTGAACAATGAGCACTATCATTGGGCGTTTTTGCATATACATAAATATTGTCAGAATCTACTCTCCTCACTTTAAGAGAGTCCCTTCATCAGATAAACAAGCCAATTTTATGTTGCATGTCACTTTCATCACAGCGAACAATTAGTCGCCGAGAATGAGCACAAAGAAGTCGGTGGCATTTGCCGGTGACTCCCATTCGTAGTCATCTTGGGAGCTGAAGCTCAGAAGGAGAGTCTATTTTGCCTATGGAGACACCGATTCGTATGTGATTAAGCCTGATAAATACTCGGCATATAAGACCAAAATATCACATACACAGTCAGAGAGACAAATGAGCGAATCCCTGTGCTTTTGCTTCTATATTATTATTTAAATGCAACAATTTGTCATACGGAGGACGTTTTTCACCTTTCTGCCCGCCATTGTCCGCCGATATTAATATGAACAATGCCGAGGAATTTACCAGAGCAGGTGAAACTCCCACTGAGTGGCTGGGAATGTCGCTGGCAATGCGCTGAGAAAACGACCTCTTGGGTCAGAGAGTTTGGCTAACTTTGCCGGTTTATGAAGGATCAATTCCATTGCATCTCTATAAAGCATTTAATGGCCCAGAACAATTTGCATACTATGTAGAATTCCCTTTAATATGAATGATATGCCTTTTCATGTTGCTGTTCGTGAGACTATTTGCTATTTGTGCATGAAAGTGAGATGGAAGGCAATTTTATGTGTGCTGGTGTTTCATATATTAATACGATATCATCCTTTTACAGCCTTTTAAATGGTTGCATAAATAAGTGTTTATACGATGTGCCGTCAATTGGACGGTGGATGAAATTTAAGCCATGTTTCTGCCACATAAGAGCTTGCCACTCTTCCTCTGTGGTGAATAGGGACATTTGAACAGTTAATTGATGTAGTTAAAGTTATTCTGTCAACATTGAACGGTCATTAGTCACTAAATCAATGTGTGAGGGAAACGTCTTATCTAGTCATTTAGCATAAACTGAATACTTTATTGCAATCTCTTCTCCTTTCAGGCTCTTTGATCGAGAAAAGGAGAACATCTACAACTTCATGGTGGTAGCAACTGACGGCGGAAAGTATGATACGCGATCCCAGAAAGTCCCTGTGCAGATCATCATTGAGGATGTGAATGACAACAAGCCAGTGTTTGAGAAATATCCTTTCAAGGGTCACGTGGCGGCCTTTGTGCAGCCCGGACAAACTCTCCTGCAAGTCTCGGCGACAGATGGCGATCAAGGGACTAATGGTGAGATTCTCTACAGTCTTATCAATGATGCGACAAACGGAAAGTTCCGGATAAACCCCAACACAGGCGCTCTGAGCGCTACTCAAAGTTTGGCGAGTGAGAATGGAAAGCTGCTGCATCTGGAAGTGATCGCTCGGGACAAGGGAAATCCTCCACAGACCGCCACCGGACTTATCGAACTTCAAGTTGGTGATGTTCCTCCGGGAACGCCACATCTTCGCTTCCAGAATGACACCTATGTTGTTCGACTGCCGGAGAATGGGGTCTCTGGACAATCTGTCGTTCAGCTGAATGCCGTTCGAAGTGATGGGCGACGTCAGAGAATCATTTATAAGATCGGGAGTGGAAACGAGGATGGAGCTTTCACGATCGATCCGGCAACGGATGAGATCAAGATCCACAATGCGGATCAGCTGGACTTTGAGAAGTATCCGAAGGGCTTGAAGCTGATCGCAGTGGCGAGAACCGAGGGTAATCCCGTGCTGTATGGTTACTGTGAGGTGAAGGTGCTTCTTGTGGATGAAAATGACAACGCTCCCAGATTCACGCAGCATCAGTATTCAGCGGCCGTGTGGGAGGGCAACAACAAGGGCACGTTCGTGATGCAAGTGTCAGCCTACGATGCCGACCAAGGATCGAACTCACGCATCCTGTACCACATCGTGGACGGAAATCATGACAACGCCTTCATCATCGAACCAGCGTTCAGTGGCGTTGTGAAGACGAACATCGTGCTGGATCGCGAAATCAGGGACATGTATCGATTGAAGGTGATCGCAACGGATGAAGGGGTGCCACAGATGACGGGCACAACGACAATCCAGGTGCACATTGTGGACGTGAACGACAACCAACCCACATTTCCGCCTCACAGCGTTATCAGCGTGAGCGAAGGTGAGTCCGCATGACGAGATGCTGCGAATTCCACCCGGTATGAGCTCAATTCTCACCCGGAGAGAAATCGCTATTTGTGGCTTAGTTTAATTAAAACTGAAAGGCAAAACACGGTTTCCGAAACACCCGGAGAATACTTTAAAAGAAAATTAATCATAATTTATTTATTTATGCCATACATTTCTCATAGAATGGAGAATGGGTAAAAAGCAAAAGGGAGAAAATGACGAGAATTTGCTTTACACTTTAAATGACTCTCCTGATATTCTCGCTTTTATCGTTCGGGCGCGCAATTTCCTTCAACCGGTTTCTCCACCAAATTTATATATGAATTATGAGAGGCTTTTTCACCTCCTTTTCCCCTCTGTGATCATTTTTTACGAAATTGTTTAGTCGATGATCCACACTAAATTACTCACACAAGAAAATTGATCTATTTTCTGTCTGCTTTTCTTGTTATTACCTTAAATTGTGAGAAATACTTGAGTGTTTTGACCGGTTTTGACATTAAATGACGAATTTGGATCGGTTTTTTGCAGTGCAATTTAAGTAATTCAAAAGCAATATTTCGATTATACACTCTCGTAAATTGAAAGATACACAATCCTTCGTGCGCTCCGCTTTTCGGTCTTTTTTTCCACACGTTGATCCTCACTTCCTCGCGCGATCTTGTCTTATTCGCTTATTGATGGTCATTTAGCCAAAAGCACAACCCACACAGCCAATATATTTTGCCGGTGCGTGGAACATTGTATTAGGATGGATGCACAATGAGGTGCATTTTTGCATATAAAAGTCATGTGTGCACTGAGGAGAGGAGGAAATATACACATAAATATTTGCGGTGTTATGATGAATTTTTCACGGGTCACAGGTCAATTCGCAATTTCAGCGTTTACAGGCACGATCAGCTCGCGCAGAGCCGCTCTGGCTGATGTGTTAGGGGGCACAGGGTGGAGCTGGGGAAGATGATATCGTTGCCATACGATGAGCCTTCGATTTCTGCGGGTGGGACAGTGTCGAGGTGTATGAGTTTATGGACCGTTCCGTGATTTATTGCTACATTATTGCCTTCTTACATCTTCCTGGCATGTCAATTCGCCAACTCGTGTGCGCGCCACAGTAAATTGATGGCCTTTCTTTTCTCTCTTTTCCACGCTCGCGCCTAGGAATTGAATTGGGAACAGTGCTGACGTCCATCACGGCCAATGATGTGGACACCAATCCCGCTCTGACGTACAGCTTTGTCGACGAGGCTTCCGATCCCGACACCACCAACATCTTCGCCATTGACCGCTTCAGTGGCAAAGTGATCCTGCGCCAGCGGCTGGACTATGAGACACGACAGGAGTATCAATTAAAGATCAGTGCGTCCGACACGTCACACCTGGCGCAAACAACCCTCACGATCCGTGTCACAGATCAGAACGACAATGCGCCAATCTTCCAGCAGCCGGCCTATCACACCACACTGCCCGGTGAGTTGATCCACACTTTATTGCCACTCATGCCCGCGATTTGATCACCCTTTCTGCGCTCCCGAGATCGTGCTTAAATTGACAAATCCTCGCATTGTGACGTCCATGAATGAGTGATTGCAATTGGTAGCTTCTTTCACTGGCGAGAACAATAGCCAATTGATGAAATCATTTCTAAGTGCATAAGCCTTACGAAACGGCACAGTTTTAGGTCGAAATTCGATTCGATTTGAAGATGAACACAACTTGTAATCGACATGATTAGGAAAATCTTGTTGCACAATAATTTTCGAATTTATGTTTTATTGCTTTAATTTTATAGAATGATCGATAGAAGCTAAGAGTTCCAATGCCCAGAGACATTAAAGTGTGGGTTCACTGAAAAGATCTCAATGTCAGCTATAACATACAAATCTGAGCATGATTGCGATGAGAACGATTGAATTTCTCGGTATTAATCGCATAAATGCTGAGAAAAGAGAAGAGAAGCATTAATAATAGCTGATGTGTCAACGAAGAAGGGTATTAACGACGCAAAGTGGCTCATCTCGACGAGCATTGCGTATGCAATTGATGAAAAATCACACCCTATGATAGCAGAGAGTGAAACAGCGCACCTCAAATTAAAGTGAGATGAGTTGTTTGGAATTAAATTACAATCCGCATGTTTTTCTGCGGCACACAGAATCTCTGTGGTGTTCAAAATGTTGACAAGATGAGAAACTGCGTGAGTTTGATCCTGAAGAAATCGCGTTGCTGCATTTATTGTAGGGATTCACTTATGCACTCCACATTATGTGCAATTGTATTTTCATGTTCGATTGTTCGACGACCAAAAGGTGAAGTCTTTAAATGGTAGTGACAGTTACAATGGGCGCGATCGTATGGTGTCACTGGCGATTGGTTTCTTCTTTTTCCTGCGCGCCCTTCACTGTTTCTGTCCCTATGAATAGGGCTCTCTCTCTCACTAGAAGACCGGTATGAGGTGTTGTGAGAAAATATGCAGATGCTCGAGTGTTAATCATTCAAATGACCCTGCCAAGTCAATCACATCCAACAGCCGCGACCATTGTCTCGTCTCCTTGCCCTCTCGCTCTATTCTCTTCATATGTACACACCAAGGTGTACACACTTTTGATCTAGCAGAAGCAGACCGAGTGTAATTTGACACGAGACCTTGATCACATATGATCACATTCATCAATAATTCCTTCTTCTTGTCCCAAACCACACAATAAACAGTCCAATCGCCTTGGACTGTCTCAATATCTCTCCATATCACATCAAACTGTCCAAACATGCAGTTCTCATCATGTGTGCGATCGTTCCATTGCAGAGGAAGTCAACAATGCCGAATTGGAGATCCTCACCGTGAATGCCACAGATGCCGACAGCGAGGTCAATGCCAAGATCAGGTACTCCATTGCCAAGTTGATCGCTGGCTTTAGGATTGGGGAAACGTCTGGTATTCTCTATGCCAACACTTCGCGCATCTCCAAACCCTTGCGCGAGGACATTCATCTGACCATTGTGGCCACGGACTCGGGAAGTGTTCCTCTCACAGCCACCACAACTGTTCGCATTCATGTGAACTCCAATTCGCACGCGAAACCGCAGTTTATGCAGAATCAATATCGGTGAGTTGATAGCATTGAACTATGATCGATTCATGATGAACTAATCATTCTTTCGACCGCAGGGCGAGCGTCAAGGAAGACATCTCACGGGGCTCTGCAGTTATTCGCCTATCACCGCCAGACTTGCCAGAAATTGATGCCCAGAGTTTGATGAACTTGGAGATTGTCTCTGGGAATGACAATGGCACTTTTGAGATCACCAATCCTGGAGCTACTATAATAACTGTGAAGACGCTGGATCGCGAGGAAACGGATCTGTATCATTTGCGGTTGATGATGTGTGAACGAGGGAAGCCCACACGGAAAGATGACAATTCCACGGCCATAAACGTCTTCATAACAGTGGATGATGCCAATGATAATGTGCCAGTGTTTCAAGCTGCCACTTACGAAGCCACCATAAGCGAGGCAGCCACGCTGAGGCACTCAATAACCAAGATCCAGGCTGTAGATGCGGATCTGGAAAGCTCACCAAATTCTGAGGTGGTTTATGACATCACGAGTGGAAATGATTCGGGAATGTTCTCCATTGATTTGGTGTCGGGAGTGCTGTTTGTTAACAACGAATTGGACTATGACACTGGAGAGTCGGAGTACAATCTCGTAATTAGAGCGTGTGATAGTGCTATCAAGCCCTTGTGCAGTCTTCAGCCTTTCCGCATCCAACTGACTGACGAGAATGACAATGAACCGAAGTTCCCGGTATCGGAATACTTGGAATTCGTTGGTGAGAATGAGCCCATAGGGGTGTCCGTGTTCACGGCCAGGGCTACGGATATGGATAAAGGTGTCTTTGGCCAGGTGAACTACACGATAGTCTCGTCAGCCGCCAGTGGATATTCGGACATTGATGAGTCGTGGAAGCTGTTCAAAGTGGATCCCGAAACAGGAGTTGTTAACACAAATGCCATCTTTGACTATGAGCAGAAGAATCGATACACGTTCACGATCAAGGCTCGGGACATTGGCGGAAAGACGGCGAGTGTGAGGGTGAGAGTGATGATTGAGAGTCGCGATGAGTTCAGCCCTCAGTTCACGGAGAGAACGTATCGCTTCATACTGGCCACTCCGTCTTCTGGATACCTTCCCGTTGGCTATGTCGTGGGTCATGTCACAGCCACCGACAGGGACAAGGGACCCGATGGTCGAGTGATCTACCAACTCTCCACTCATCATCCCTACTTCAAGATGAACCGCACCACCGGCGCTGTGATGGTGAAGAAGAAGGTGGACAATGTTGCAGCGAGTCTTGAGGCTGGAAGAGACATTAGTCTTGTGGTTCAGGCAAGTTCAGGCAGACAAGGTTCCTTAACCAACATGACTGTTGTGGAGATTGCGCTGGATCCTTCAGCAGATCCTGCAACGAACATTGCTTCGGCCACTGGAAATTCAGGCTCTGGATCCGGCGGCAGTGGACTGGCCGATTGGGCTCTGGGACTTCTCATCTCTTTAATCCTGGTTATACTGTCATTCGCAGCGGTGTTTGTCTTCCTCCACATGCGCAACAGAAGACACAAGCAAGTGACCAAGCCGAGTTTGAGCTCAGAAACTGTTGGCAATAGCAATTCATATGTGGATCCCTCGGCTTTTGACACGATTCCCATAAGAGGGAATGCTGCTGGAGTTAGCACTACCGGACAGTTTGCTCCGCCGAAGTACGACGAGATTCCGCCGTATGGGCCACACACGGGGAGCTCTAATTCCGGAGCCCCTACAACGTCTGAGTTGTCGGGATCAGAGCAGTCGGGATCGAGTGGGCGAGGAAGTGCGGAAGATGGGGATGATGGAGAGGACGAAGAGATCAGGATGATCAATGAGGGACCTCTGCAGAGAGACACTGGCTTGCACAGGACGAACGATGTGGACGGCAGGCTGTCTGGCATTTCTGTGCAGAATACTCAAGAGTACCTAGCAAGATTGGGGATTGTTGACAATCCGGCAACAAACGGAGCGGGATCGACGTCCTCACGACATTGCTCGGAGAGTATAGGTCCGGGGAGTGCCAAAGATGCCATTCTGCACCACACACTGCCCATCGATAGTCTGCACAACATGTTCGATGAGGAGCCTGGCGGAGAGTCAGATATCACGAATCTCATCTATGCGAAGCTCAACGATGTTGCTGGCGGCAGCGACCGGGCGAGCAGTGCCGATGAAGCTGCAACAACTGCGGGCAGTATAGGGGCTGCCGTGGATCATGTGATGGTGATGGGAGGCTTCGGGGATGGACCAGTGGTTGGCGGTGGCAACACCGGACCCAGTATGAATGGGTCCCTGAGTTCCATTGTACATAGTGAAGAGGAGCTCACGGGCAGCTACAACTGGGATTACTTGCTGGACTGGGGACCGCAGTACCAGCCGCTGGCGCATGTCTTCAGCGAGATCGCCCGCCTGAAGGATGACACGTTGTCTGTGCACAGTGGAAACAGCGGCGCGTCGAGTGCCAAGAGCAAAGGATCTCTGCAGCATGCTGCCAAGCATATTCCGCCGCCCTTGCTCACGAACGTCGCTCCGAGAACCATCAATGCTATGCCGGTGTTGCCAAGCCGAGGACCTGGCCATCACTCTGTCCTCACGGCGCATCAGTACCTCCTGCCGCGATCGCCGATCAGCCACGATGCTCCCGGTGGCGGCTTCAGCACCTCCTCGGCCATGTCGCCGAGTTTCTCGCCCTCCCTCAGTCCACTGGCCACTAGGTCGCCTTCCATTTCGCCCCATGTGAACTCTGGCCTGTCCACATCGCATCACATGGTGTCCCTGCCGCAGCACCAGCCACAGCCGATCCAGAGGAAGACACTCGATCCGGAAATGAGGGTACGCATCTGAGTTGACCGGAGAGAGTGACCGAGACACCCCCAGAAAGGCTGTGTTCCGCAGGTGGACGAGAGGGAGTTCCCCAGTTAATTGTCTTGTGTTTAAGCAAGATTTGTGTCTGTTGTCTATAAGATAATCTAGATAGGTTTCTTAGAGTATTTCTGCGTGGGCCGCGGGAGGATTTTATTTTGATGATCAATATTTATTAGGCGTGCCTCCTTCTCACCAGTCAGCAAATCGCCCACGCAGATCGCGCGAAAACAAGTGCGAAAAGAAATTTTGCCGTAATTCGAATCTACACAGGTCTGTAAATAACAATGTGCCTTCAGTAATGAGATAAGTTAATTAGTCCAACAAAGTAGGATTCAAATTTATTTGTTTAATTTGTACATAGTCCCCGCTGAAATTTCTAATAACTATAGCATAACAGCGAGAGAGTATTATCTGAAGTGCAGTGTCAGAGTACTTGTAAAAAAGGAGCGAATGGATTAGAACTGAAATAAGACTGTGTAAAGCGTATTTAAAACGCCATAATTATCTCTGTAAATTCTACTCCCAATTAATTGTTAATTTCAAGGAAGCAGCGCAGTTAGTACGTTTTTTAATGCTCGATAGTGAAGAATTTTCTGTTTAAACGACATACTCGGAGTTATTAGAACGAATACAGAGATGAGATCGTTTTGTGGAATAATCGGCAGTTAAGTTTCTAATTTTGAAATCACGGCCAGTAAGTTGACTCTCTCTCTGCTGAAGCGAAATTACTTACGAAAATACAAAATACGACAAAACAAATGTAAAGAAATTCCGAGAATGTAGTTGAAATGAAAAAGAAAATTGTAAAATTAAATATTTGCTATTTTTCTTGGTCTCTCCACTTCCACTGATTGCAGCATCGCTCCTTCTTCTTCTAAGTTCTGCAGCTCCAATTCCTTTCGGGAAAGATGATCGACTATTGCCGACGCATAGCAATCGGTTAGAACATTGTTTGTCGTCCTGATTCTGTCCAGGAACCACTCCACAGTGAAGAGAAGAGTGATTTGGTCAGCAGAAGCATTGATTGTAGACAGAATGATCACTACCAAGACGACAGCTCCACTCGGAACCGTTCCAACTGATAAAGACATGATCGTAGTCATGACGAGGAGAGTCAAAAGTTCTCCCATTCGAAGATCAATGCCTTGCATCTGAGCGAGGAATGCTGAAGCGATCACCATAAACATCGCAGCTCCATCGGTATTCATTGAGCATCCCAGAGGAAGAACGAATCTCGTCACTCGCGGATTGATTTTCACTTTATCATTCAGTGTTCGCAACGTTATTGGAAGTGTAGCAAGTCTGGGGAAGACAGAGAACACGAGGTAATGTTTGCACAGAAACTCCAGTGCTCATGTTTCTAAAATAGCAAATCTCATGGCAAATATTTAATCAAAAAGTAAATTCTCAGCTTATTTGGTTAGGAATTATTTTGGACATTCCACTTTCTCTTCTGGTTTTTTATCTTATCAAGAAATCTGAAAGTCACTATGAAGACTAATATTCCACTTACGTTGAACATGTGGCGAATCCTGAAATCATCGGATCGAATAGCTTGACGTAGAATTTGAAGGGATTCTTCCTGATAATGATGTAATAATACGATTGAAGGATTACCAATTGATAAACTGTTTCACCGATGCAAACTGTTATTATGAATTTTCCCAGTTGAGAAAGAACGAGACTTAAATTTTCCACCTCCATAATTTTCCCCGCAATGATACTGCACACTCCCAAAGGTGTCATCCACATTCCTGCTCGAACTATTCTCATCATTGCCTCAAGAACTCCTTGGAAGAAATCAATGGCCACTTTTCCACGCTCCCCTAGCGTTCCCAGAACTCCTCCAAGAAGAAAGCAAAAGAATACAATTCCCATGCTGTTGGTACCATCGCGGAAGCGAATCACTTTCTGGTCACTCTCGAGATCACGATCTGTGTAAGCTTGCTGAAATGTCGCCCTGAAGAGATTGTTTGGCACAAGATTTCGTCCCAGATCGAGAAATGTGTCCAAGAGATTCACTTCAGAAGTTGCCGAACTGTTTCTCTCTTCACTGATGCTTCTTTCACTGGTTGTGTCCACTCCTGGTTTAATGAGGACGACTAAACACAGTCCAATTGACACGGCGATGAATGAACTGGAGACGAAGTAAATCAGCGTTCTTACAGCGATCTTCCCATTGGCACCAATGTTCAAACTCGCGGTTCCGTAAATGAGGCAACAAATTAGCAGTGGTAGAATGATCATTTTCAGGAAGCTCATGAAGATTACTCCAGGATAGGAGATGATCGCGATGTAATCCGGCAAGTAGTGTGGATTGAGATGGAGAGCTTTCAAGGAAAATCCCAACAAAACTCCCGCAGCAACTCCAATCAGAGTGAGAACCAACATGAGATTCTTTCTCACCCATGATTTCTTTCCTTCGTCACTCATATTCACTGTTAAGAACTTCCACTCTCTCTGGCGCTTCAAATGCAACTGATGAAATTCTTATTCTGATGTACGCAGTCTGACGCTTTTAAAGCTATAATTTATTGCCCAGGACAATTAAAGATATTACCTTATCTCTGAGAGAAAGAAGATACCTCATATGATAGTAAGAATCCTTGAATGAATCTTCACATGAGATACTGCTTATCTGTGAATTATTTATTTAATATAAAATTTGATTTCAATGTAAAGAATCAGGCAAATTACATTGTTTGCAATTTTTCAGCTTTTTCAACTTCTACTGATTGCAGCATAACTCCTTCTTCCTCAATTACTTCTTTCTGTAATTCTTTCATAGATAGATAATCGACTATGGCAGCTGCATAGCAATCAGTTAAAATGTTGTTTGGCGTTCGAACCCTATCAAGGAACCATTCAACAGTGAAAAGAAGGGTGATCTGGTCGCCTGAGGCATTGATTGAGGAAAGTATGATTGTCACCAACATAACTGCTCCACTTGGAACGCTTCCAATAGCCAAAGATAAAATCGTGGTGATGACTAGGAGAGTTCCAAGTTCTCCCATCTTCAAATCAATTCCTTGCATTTGAGCGAGAAATCCCGAAGCCATTATCATATACATTGCAGCTCCATCTGTATTCATAGAGCATCCAAGCGGAAGAACGAATCTCGTCACACGAGGATTAATCCTAGCTTTATCATTCAGAGCTCGAAGTGTTATCGGGAGCGTGGCAACTCTAGAAAACAGAGAACAAGGTGGAGTTTGAAGTAAAACTGCTGATATCATGTTTCAATGCAAATTTTGCAGAACTTTTTGCGATTGTTTAATTTTGAATATAAAGCGCGATGTTTCTGTTTACCAATGAATTGTTCTTAACGTGCTTATTTTTTTTTTTATTAAAAATTGCAGCTTTCATATATATATATATATATATATATATTAACTATAAAGAAATAATACATTTTCAACTTACGTTGAGCATGTAACAATTCCTGAAATTATCGGATCAACGAGCTTAACGTAGAATTTAAAGGGATTCTTCCTAATAATGATGTAATAATACGATTGAAGGATTATCAATTGATAGATTGCCTGCCCAAGGCAAACTGTGACTATGAACTTTCCTATCTGTAACATCACCATGTTCAGATTCTCCACTTCGAGTATTTTCCCTGCAATGATACTGCACACTCCCAAAGGAGCCATCCACATTCCAGCTCGAACAATCTTCAGCGTGGCTTCAAGAATGCCTTGGAAGAAATCAATGGCCACCTTTCCACGCTCCCCCAGCGTTCCCAGAACTCCACCGAGAAGGAAGCAAAAGAATACAATTCCCATGCTGTTGGTTCCATCGCGGAAGAGAATCACATTCTTGGGTTCACGAGCTGTGTAAGCTTGCTGAAATGTCGCCCTGAAGAGATTGTTCGGCACGAGATTTCGTCCCAGATCGAGAAATGTGTCCAAGAGATTCACTTCAGAAGTTGCCGAACAATTTCTCTCTTCACTTATGCTTCTTTCACTGGTTGTGTCCACTCCTGGTTTAATGAGGACGACTAAACACAGTCCAATTGACACAGCGATAAATGAACTGAAGATTATGTAAGTTAATGTTCTTATAGCGATTTTTCCATTGGCACCAATGTTCAAACTCGCAGTTCCATAAATTAAACATGATGTCAGTAAAGGAAGAATAATCATTTTCAGGAAGCTCATGAAGACTTCTCCAGGATATGAGATGATCGCTATGTAATCCGTGTTCAGATGGAGAGCTTTCAAGGAAAATCCCAGCAAAACTCCCGCAGCAACTCCCATCAGAGTGAGAACCAACATGAGATTCTTTCTCACCCATGGCTTCTTTTCGTCTATAGCCATTTTCCTTAATTCAAATAGTACGTCCACTCTCCGTGACACTACAATTTCAACTGACAAAAGTCTCATTCCAAAAAGTGTAAGATCAAGCATTCTCAGTTATAATTTATTACGCTATCATTGTTATCAGCATATGTGTGAGAAGCAAATGATTATTTAATGTATTTTATATGATTACAATAGATTTTGACAAGTATGTGAGACAAACAGTTCAGCGCAATGCCTCACTAGGCACTTTGGGCTCATTGTGTCATTGAAAAATGAATGCAATAAGGCTCTGGGTCAAAGGCAATTTTAATTTGGATTGGGGCGTCAGGCGCACCGATTTCATCGAATCGATTCCTTTTTTTTTGTTAATATTCAGAAAATATTTTAATATAATCTCTGATTTATTTAAATATATTTGATTATTTTGCAATTTTACTTGAAAAATAATCATTTTTTTATTATTTTATTTAAATATTTGATTAATAGCATTAAGTTTCCTCAAAAGTTGCCCCTTTGCCACAAGTATGATGAAAAGTTGAAAGGATATTGAAAGGAAAGTTTAAATATACGCATTAAATTTATACTATCTTTCGGCTTGTTCTACTTTTACTGATTGTAACATTTTTCCTTCTTCCTCTGAGTTTTGCTGCTCTAATTCCTTTTTGGAAAGATGTTGGACTATTGCAGCTGCATAGCAATCACTGAGTATGCTGTTTGGTGTTCGAATTCTGTCAAACAACCATTCAACAGTGAAAAGAAGAGTAATTTGGTCGGCAGAAGCATTGATTGAGGAGAGAATGATCGCTACTAAGACAACCGGCCCACTCGGCACGCTACCAACGGCCAAGGACAAGATTGTCGTTATGATCAGCAGACTTATAAGTTCACCTAGCTTCAGTTCAATGCCCTGTATCTGAGCGAGAAAGGCTGAGGCGATCATCATGAACATTGCAGCTCCATCGGTATTCATTGAGCATCCAAGCGGAAGAACAAATCTCGTAACTTTAGGATTCATCTTCACTTGGTCGTTGAGAGTTCGAAGTGTTATCGGAAGCGTGGCAACTCTAGAAGACAGAGAACACGAGGTAATGTTTGCATAGAAACTCCAGTGCTCATGCTTCTGAAGTAGAAAATCTCATGGTAAATATTTACTCATAAAATATTCTTTTATTTAGTTTAAGATTATTCCGTGTTAAATTAGTCTATTGCAAAACAGTGACTGTCAAAATTAACTGAATTTCGTAATGAAAGAGATTTTTAAGTGAGACTTACGAAGAACATGTGGCGAATCCTGTAATCATCGGATCGAATAGCTTGACGAAGAATTTGAAGTGATTCTTCCTGATAATGATGTAATAATATGATTGAAGGATTATCAATTGATAAACTGTTTCACCAATGCAAACTGTTATGATGAATTTTCCCAGCTGAGTGAGAACTAAGTTCAGATTCTCAATTTCGATTATCTTCGCAGCAATGATACTGCACACTCCCAAAGGGGCCATCCACATTCCGGCTCGGACAATCTTCAGCGTAGCTTCAAGAATGCCTTGGAAAAAACCAATGGCCATTTTTCCGCGCTCGCCAAGTGTTCCCAAAACTCCTCCGAAAATCCCAGCAAAACTCCCGCAGCAACTCCCATCAGAGTGAGAACCAACATGAGATTCTTTCTCACCCATGATTTCTTTCTTTCGTCACTCATATTCACTGTTAAGAACTTCCACTCTTCCACTCTGATACTGAAACTGCGACTGGCGTAATTAATCAGGAAATTCATTTATCTTGAGTGCCTAATCATGACGCCACAGCATCTCAGAGTCGCAATCTTATCATCTTATAAGTAGTGAGTGTGTTTGATTGACACTATCAGTGAGATAATTTAATTCTTTCAAATGAAATAGTGAAAATCAGATCAAACATGAATTACAGCGATTACAAATATATTTTCCATTGTAGTCTCACAAATGATTATTTTACAACTGCAATTTGCTTGGTATTTTTATACTTTTTATTAATCTCGCATCTTCATCTAAAATCTAATCAGTCTAACAATGAATTATTACAGCAAATATATTATATGTATAATACATTATTCATAAATTTCTATGGTGGACTGTGTATGTTAGGAGAAAGATAGAAGTTGTCTTGCTTGATGACCTACAGTTTACAGATTACTTGGCAATGAAGGTCGATCTAAGGGTGTGTTCTTAAAGGAATAAAATGTTGTCTAAAAACCGTTTATAATATGTCTCTTCATAAAGATGCCCAATACATCTGGTTGCCTCAAAGTTTTTTCCCTGTTTAATCACGTGATCCTACGTGAGAGGATTTAGCCTTTTATATATATTTACTTTTTTGATATTCTCTGGAAGGTGTTTCACTTCTCTAACAAAAAAACCCTCGGGGTAACATTTAAATTGTTGGTATCACATTATAAAGTTCTACAATCTACTGTGATGTATTTCCTTTTATCTCTCAATAGGCTCTAAATATATTCCTAGTATTGTTTTATGTCATTTTTCAATCTGAAGAGATGCTTCGTGACTTTATGGTTAATCCTCAGAAGGTGAATACTTTTTTGCATTTTTCCCCGTGATATAGCTTTTCAATATTTTCGGTTGAAGAGAAATGGACACAGGCCTGGGCTTTTCACTGTCAAAATGAGAAGAATAAACGGTTGAGAGTGTGACTCTGGTGGGGACGGTGGAAAATGAGAGAAGAATTTGCTTGAAAGAGTGTGACTCTTCGACTCTATCACAAAGGTCTGTCTCTCCATTGTGACTCCACTTGTGGGACAATCCATTGAGATTTTGCATTTCAATCTGCGTTGCGTCGTCTTCCCAAGCAGCCGGAGATCCTTCCGTTCAGTTGCGACGCATGGCCTGACCATTGGCCACAGCTGCCGGAATGTCAACGATCACGGAATCAGGTACTGAGCTTCGTCGATCCAAGTCTGGGTCGGTGTCATTCATAATATGGCCATTTGGTGCTTGTTCCTGCAGAAAAGAGGAGCAAACGTGAGTGCTTTTGCATACAAACCAACACAGAGTAACACAAAAGTGCACAAGAGAAGAGGAAAGGACTATGCAAAATAAACACAAAAGCCAAAAAGCAAAACCTTTTAATGTGTGCATAAAAAAGGGATTGTGCAGGTGAAATGCGGTATAGTTGTTAGAGTTCTGCGCTAACTTGATAAAGCGTTGCTGCGTCCAACGCCATGAGTTCCTTTCGGGACAAGTGTTCCACTACAGCAGCAGCATAGCAGTCGCCAAGCATGTTGTTGGTCGTCCTGATCCGGTCTCTGGAAGATGAAGAGTATGTTGAAATGTCGTGCAGAATATAAATGTCAAGGATGAGTTTATATTTTACACAAGAGGCATAACATTAATCAGTTGAGATTACAGTTTTAATTGACGGAGTTTGGTGGAGAAAACTCGTACACAAGTTCTGGCTGCTAAATTGTTCATGCATTGTTTAATATTCATGAGTGGAGGCAAAACAAGTGCAGGTGAAGTTGAAATTTCAATAATCCTATAGGATTTTCTCTACTTACACGAACCAATCGATAGCGAAGAGAAGCGTCACGTCCTGAACGGGAGCATCGATGGCCGAGAGCACGACGAGGAGGAGCACGAGGGCGGCGCTGGGAACGCTGGCCGACGACATTGAGGCGGCCGTCGAGGAGAGACAGACAGTGACTATCTCGCCGAAGCCCAGATTCATGCCGCTCATCTGGGCGATGAAGATGGAGGCGATGGAGATGAAGAGCGCCGTCCCGTCCATGTTGATGTTGCAGCCGATGGGCAACACGAAGCGCGTGACACGCGGGTCGATGCGCAACTTCTCGTTCATGCAGCGGAATGTGATGGGCAGAGCGGCAGCGGTGGACGCCGTGGCGAAGGCCGTGAGCATTGGATTGATGAGGCCGTAGTAGAACTTGAAGGGGTTCTTGCGCAGGAAAACAAAGTACACCAGCTGCATGATGACGAGCTGGTACAGGAAGACGCCAATTGCCACCGTGACGATGAACATGGCCAACTGAGACATCACCAGGGCCAAGTTGGACACGTCAAGGATCTTGCCGGCGATCACGCTGCTGATGCCCAACGGGGTGCACCACATCACGCCCGTCACCATGCGCATTATCACCTCGAAAACGGCCGAGAAGAAGTCAATGACCACCTGCCCGCGCTCGCCCAGAGTGCCCAGCAGCGTGCCGAACAGCAGGCAGAAGAAGACGATGCCCAGCGTGTTGGTGCCAGGACGGTACTTGATCACGCGCACCATCTCAGGCTCCGCCTCGTCAGCGGCGTCCGTGGCGTTGAGCAGAGAGTCGTTGAGGCCCAGAGAATTGCTTTGCGGTACGTAGGCCGTGTGAGCCTGCTGGAAAGCAGCTTGAAACAGGTTGTCCGGGAAGACATTTCTGTGGATGGAAGAAAGCGCACAGTTCAAATTTGCACTCCAAAACTTCGCAAAGTTCCACCCAATACTAATACAAAATTTTCTATAGGCATCCAATGTTACAAATGACATGCCCCTTAAATATGGCAAAGTACATATCGCCAATGACTACAAAAATAGTATTTAATTGTTTTCAGCATTTTAATTGATAGTAGAATCTCTTGAATTTATGTGGTTTTTTTTATATGTAATGTTCTAAATTATTTGCGAAAACTTTCACCTCTTTAGCCTTTTATTGGCGAAAGCAGCCAAATTGAGTACCTCATTAAGTGTGATGTTTGATTTGCTGAAATACCAGCAAAAATCACCTCGTGTGCCAAAATTATCTAACTTTTGGCACGCTCTCTGAACATTTTGCTTCTGCATGCGACTCGTTGAATTATAGTCATATTTGGTAGTTGGAATAGAGAGCGAAGAGAAATGCGAACTTTAAAACTCAATTTAAATGGAGAATTGCAAAATGCAAGATAGAGACAAGAATTCTGAGAGACGAAGAAAATTTTCTGCAGAAAATTGTATTCACTCGAGAAGCATTTCGAATTGAATACACTTTCCTCTAAGCGTGTGTGTGTGTGTGTGTTCGTTGGGTTTGAAAACGAGGCGGAAATAGAAATAGTCACAAGATTTCTTATGAATGACCTATTTAAATATAAGACAGAGAGAATGTTCCATTCTAGAACTTTGTCGGCTTGTTTATTACTAATTAAGGAAATTTCAAGCGTAATTACGATTTTTAATGTTTGACACCTGGAATATTTCTTATTTTCTGTGCTCATTATAAAATAAAATCAAATATATCGTGATGTTGGGAATAAAATTTTGATATTTATTTATGCACAAATTTATTATAAGTTCTTGAATAGCGAAAAGTAGGTAATTCTTTTCCGTGCATGTGCAAAAATAGCGACACTAAACACGACTTTTCAGAAGCCTCTCATCAAATGTCTGCTGTCAGTCATGAAATTTGCTGTTATTTTTGTATAAGCGCTATTCTTTCCTCTTCATTTCAAATAGCATTTATGACGTTTGTGATGTTAATTTCATAGTGAACAAAGTCTAAAAAAGACAACTCTTTTGAGTCATTCTAATCAATTCACGTCATCGTTGTGAGTCTTCACCGTCTTCACGCTGTACTTATAAGTATATTTTTATCTATTGGGGAAATTTTTGACAAAACAGAGTTGAAAGATACGACTTTTTTATATATACAATTGACTTAAATATCAATTCTACCCTAAATATTTTCTATTATTGGCACTTAAATTTCCTCTAAATTGTCTTACACAATGTGTTTTAATTTAGCATCACTAAAGAAGAAAACCAAGAAAACAATTTATAACTATGACCCCAATGATTTCGAAAATCGTCTGTCCGGCTGACGATGTTGAAACTCAGATAAACATGCAGCAACACAAGAGAAAGACCAGAGTTATGCCTGATATACATTTGTGGCTTAAGTCGTAAGACTCACCGTCCAAGATCGAGAAGACTGTCGAGGAGGTTGATGTTCTTGTTTTCAGATGCTCCGACAGATTCGTGGTGAAGACCAGGATCTCCGGGGTGGATGAGAAGGACGAGAAAGATGCCAAGACAGGCGTTGAAGAAGGACGTGGAGGCAAAGTAGATGAGCGTTCTAAGGGCGATTTTCCCATTCATTCGTGCATTGAGACTGGCCGAGCCGGCGATGAGACTGGAGATGATCAGCGGAAGAATCATGAGCTTGAGGACGCGCATAAATAGCTCTCCCGGGTAGGAAATCAACATGATGTAGTCCTTGCTGAGGTTGAGTGGCCTCAAACTGAAACCTACCAGAGAAAGACAGATTATTTATCTCCCAATTGATTAGCAATTAATCATCATTGGCGACAGACACATTCTAATTGACCCTTGCAACATTGCTGTGCCATCAACAATAAAGCAAATTCATTCGATTTCAATTCGATTACGATCTGACGCCGCTTCTTGCTCTTGAACTCGCACATTTCTTCAGCCAACAAGGACGAAGTCAGTTATGCATTGCCTCACATCCTCTAATTGGCTCATCTCTAAATCCAATTTATAGGTGCTTCGCATACAATTTCCTCTTCACTGTCCACGCAATGCAGTTTCCCCCCACATTTTCCGCCAGAACAGCGCGCTTTTCATGTGGTAGAAATTTTCATTTCCTCCTTGTCAAGTCACCACCAGTCATCGTGAGAGCAAGTTCAAGAGGGGGCTCATCAATCGACACATAAATTGCCATATCACGTGTCTAGAAATCATCCCGCGACAGCGAAATTCTCGTGCAGCACCGCATCAATGTCAGTGCTTGGCAACAAAAGTTCTTGCTAGATGATGCCATGGTGTATCGCTCAATAAAATTATTTCATTGCGTGGCCAATTTCATATTGAATATCTGCCGGTGGAGTCACTCATGTTGTCGTCACGATAAAATATGGTTCGGAATTTGAGAGCAAGACAACCCGTGAATAATTAAAAAAGCCACATTGATTTTACCACTATTGTGAGAGCTAGAATTGTGAGTCGTCAAAAATTGAGCTGCTGATGTCAATAATTTCTAATGTCAATACTCTAGGACAACACAGCGTTGCTTTTTTATTATCATACATAAAGCCTCGATGAAATTTATCAGCCTAAACACCAGAGACGATGTTCTGACTGAATTACACATAAATCATACACATGAAAGCCGTATTTACCATAAGATGAACGAGATGAACAATACAGAAGAGCGTATATAGGATTTTGTGTTAGAGACAATGCAATAAATGGGCGTGATTTTGAAGTGGGCGGAGAAAAAAAGTGGTTTTTTTTTCAAAATCCACAAAAAGTTGCCTTTACTCTTAGATTTAATTTAAAAAAAAAAACCAACTCATGTGAGGAAAATCTCTTGTCATCACTTAATTCATAGCCACTGAAAGGCTATAAAATATATGGGCGAAATAAAAATGAGAGATTTTTCTACCACATAAAAATGAGTTTAGATGACAGTCAGTATTACTTCTCTTATTTATTGTGTAACATGTCGTTTTTATTCTTTTTAACTTTTTCTTTTCTTTAAGTTCACTTCAAATGTCTTTGGATTATTTTGCAGAGCTGAAGTGAAATATAAAATTTTTCTACGAATTCTGAACAAGCTAAAAAAGTTCCGAGAAACACAGAAAGAATATAAAACTCGATTTGCCGCAATCTACAGAAAATCAGAGATAAATACACACATATGTACATATGCGGTATATTTGGCTTAAATGGTCTAAGAAAACGACTGTTGAACAGTACAATCAAGAAAATCTTTAAAAATTAATCGTCAACGAAACGTAAACAATCCATAAATAATTAATACCCAGAGTAATAATTAATCAATATGATTTCCTATGTTGTTCTCTATCATAATGATTTTTTCTGCTTTTCTTTTCTGAACATAAATTTCAAATGTTTCACATCTAATCAAGATAGAGAGATTAAAGTTTACAAGGCGCGATATGTTATCATCAGCGGAAAAATTCATTGATTTAACACGAGGTTGAGATTCAGTGAATCTAATTTTGACCACTGACGTGTTCGCATTCAGAGTACCTACTTAATTTCATCATACCGTCGCAACTTCCAGAATGTCTTGCATTAGCACCTTATAGTCATAGGGCCATTGTTTGTTTTAACAGTTTTGCGCGAAATCATCTCCACAATTTGGATATTCTTGTGCAAATTGATCTGTTTCCAACTAACGAATTATGCAAATCATATCATGTGCACCTCTCGGAAATTTTCCTACGATTAGGCACGTCCCTTCCGAATGTCAAGAGGTGGGATTACGCGGATTGTGAGATAATGGTATTATGATTCACGTGCCGTGGCGCTCTCAGGCCCTATCAATCACTCAAACTTGCTTCCTCGGCGCATTCCATCCAACTATCGATTTCAGCCCATCCACTTTGCACCCTCTACTTAACCCTTGTATTTGCCCAATAATCCAACCCAGTCGCATGAATTTTTATTACAAATTGATTTAGAGTTGATGGGAAGCTCTCTTGTTATTTGCACAACGGGTGTTTGGCTCTGGCCCTGCAAATTGCACGCGGCAGGGAAATCCAATCGATGGAAATTTTCCACCACTCTGGCCATTTTGCCCCTCCCCAGCGCCCGTCGCCACCCCCTCCGGAGGGGAGATGCATGGAAAATTCATGAGGTGTGCAAATTAGAAATAGAGAAGTAAGAATTGGATGTGAGTGTAAAAAAGGAGTTCGTTTGCCGATATGAAAAGGGGGGTTTGCATGCAAATTAATAGTCACCGGAGGCAAAGCATTGATTGAAGGACTGTGACTTACCCACAACAACGCCCAGGATGACCCCGGACAGGGTGACGAGGAGCATCATGTTGTCGCTGATCCACTTGCGGATGCCCGCGGGATCAGTTGGGGTGTGACATCGCTCCTTGGTCTCTCCCGTGTAGTCATCGTCTCCGTTTTGCAATGTAGGTCCCATCTTGGCAAAGAAGTAATCTGAAAAGCGGCCAGACTGGTCCATTACTATCTGTGTGGACAGATTGGGAAATTTGCACGGTAAGCGGCTGTGGTGGAAAGTCTTGGCTCCGTTTTGTGTTCGTTTACTGAGCCCTGGGCCACCGTAAGATTCCTCTTCAAAGGATCACAAGACACTCTCCTCCCTTTTTTCTCTGTCAGACAAACTACGCAGGGAGAGATGATAGAGACACTATCCCTCTTCCGTATATTGCGTATGCGAAGAGCACTCCCGAAAACCGAGCAATACTGTATTGGAAAACTGCGTCACGTGCGACCGAACAGAACAAGGGCCCGATCCTGGCAATATAATCCTGGCTAGACTTCACTGGAGTGCCACAAAATGCAGGCAGCAGCAATTTTCAAGTCACTTATTTTGGACAGGACTTGTGCACATGAGCATGTCTGTACGCAGTGGCAGATGAAAATAAACTGAACCGATGTTTCCGCGGCCTGCAAATCAAACCGCTCCCGAAAGCGTATCGATTTTCTCCACTGAGCAGCCACATACCGAAGGAATGCCCGAAGCAGGCACAGTGACTGTCAAGTTCTCAGATGATTCTCCATTCGCAGGCCATTCGCATCCGCACATCGCGACTCGAAATGCAAATTCACCCTTCTCGAGCTCATCATTTTTCCTGCGATTTTGCCAGCAATTTCAAGCGAAAAGCTGAATGGAAGAGGCAACGGAACTCCATCAGCACTTTTCCCATGACCATGAAAGTATTAATCACCTCGGTGGTTGTTGAGGCTTTCCCCTGAATCCCTCAATAGCGAAGGCATTGCATTGGTGGCGAAAGCGCATCGATTTTCCAGGTTGAATACATAGGATGGAAAATCTCACAAACTGCGTGCAATTTTTATTGCACAAACATTCCCCAGGGATGATGTATTCAGCACAAGGGCAATATTGGGAGTAATTCTGATAACCGTGACAACATGTGGAGTGGTCGCATATTTAAATACTATTTCACCATTTGAAGGAGGCTTGAGTGTTAATTTTGGGGAAAGCGCATTGAAAGCGTTGGAGAAAATTGGGGTAAACACCAAATTTGTTCCATACGCAGATAGAGAGATTGCGAAAGTCTTTCATCAAGAATGGGTGGGGCATACAAATGGGCGTGGCATTTGAACATTATTCTTCGCTACATTATAATATAAATTATTCGGATAGTGTAGGTAAGTTGAACCTATTTTGCTGATCTCTTTTTTAAATAAAGCAATTGTATACCAGAAAATTACAAGATAACTCGTGGAAAATTTCGTCACTCTTTAGCCCTTATTCTACATACACCTATTCAAAAATTCATTTTAATTGTGATATTAAACTTTTTCTTACTAACATTCCACACTTTGTGTAATTAAATTTAATTTCAGTCTTCCAGCTGGAACATTTTAAATTATACCAAGCAAGAAAAATATACATATGCAATCAAATTTTATATTTAGGATTCAACCCAGCCAAAATGAACCTTAATTTAATTAATTAAATTATTCTACTGGGTAAATCATTTGATAGAGTGAAATTGCTTCCTGATCTCTTTTCTTCTGGTTTCAACAAAATCATTGATAAAAAAAAATTTCTATTATAATAAAATTTGCTGGCTCTGCCACTAGTTATATCTAATTTCTCATGTTTCTTTTAGAGCTTAATTGTGTATGTTTTACATATAACAAGACATATAATGTCATATTTTTTAGTCAAGATCAATTAGTATAATGTTCTTATTCACCAAATTTCAAGTCAAATTAACAACAAGCGTGCTGAAATATCGCAATCAACACCTTCACTGTCTGTATATTATTTTTTATAATAGAAGTTTTTTAACTTATATCTTCAAAGAAGAAATTTCATGACTGTCGCAAAGATATTCAGAGCGGTTCAACAAAGCTCTTTGAGGGCGGACTTTCTTGTATTTATGCGAAACATCCGGATAAATTCTGCCGCACAGCATTAGTGAGTTGGCGAAGTATTCAATGAATCTGCCGGTTAAATAAATCTCCTCTGTCTCGTTCGCTGACTCTCGACATGATCTTGGCCCTGTCCTAATCCCGAGTCCACGCGAATGCGAAATTATACCACACGTGGCAAACAAGATAATTGCGCACGAGAATAAGTCTCACCTCGAAATTCCTGGTGGAGAAGCTCACAATCTACTTGATGACGTGCTATGTGTTCTATAACCTCGCCCAAGGACCATCCCTGTGGGCTCTGGATTGTCGTTTCACCTTATTTCGTCCGCGTTATGCAACTGGTTGGAGTGCAGACTTGGGCACTGTCTCTGCTGTGCGTGGCACTTACTTTTGGCTTTTCGCCGATCAATTAGAATTCACTATTTGGCGGCAAATCTTCTCTTCACGCCAAAGCGCTTTGAATCACTAATAATTTTCCCTAAACTTTGCACTTCAAGCACTCACGATATCACAAGGACCACTGACAGCGCTTGAACATCACCATATCAGAGTCACACCAATTCATAAGCACTTGCGTTTAGTTTAATTTGATAATTTGATTTCAAATCTCTGTGTAATAAAGCCCTTTGTTAGAGATGTGAAGGATGTGAAGCAATAAGGGTGGACAGTTTTCGCAATTTTTGGGTGCGATCGCATGAAATAATTAGGCAAATTTAAACACCAAACTAATTGTATAAAAAATATTGGGTTAAGCAAAATTGAAGACTCATCATTGAGACGCGGAAAGCTATTTTTATAAGGTTTTAAACCCCAATAAATTGCAAAATGCGTTTTACATCAACTCCTCACGGAAAATCTTTCCTTTTGAACCACGAGCTTGTGAAGATCTATTCGTGCGATCCTACATAAGAAAACTGCCCGGTTTGTGCGTAGTTGAAGCGACACGAGTTGCACAATGAAATGGGAGCAGCAATAATAAATCTCCGTCAATGTTGTCTCATTTAATCCACACCATCGCTAACAAATTGGTCAAATGCTTGATTGAGTGGGTGATATTAAGATCACTTTCGATGCGACTTTGCTTTACGTGGTGATATTGTCTTTTTACCAGATATTCGCACTTCCTTCTCCCGAGGATCAAACTTTGCGCTTCCGGATGCGAGACGATTCTCTAGCGAGTGTTCTTGCCTACTGGGAGACACCTTCGCTGTGCAGTGCGTTTAAAAATATCCCTCGATTCTGTCCACGACGCCGTCAGTTCGGCGTCTGATCGTTGCTTATCGTCTTCTTGGCAATCTTGAATCGCCAATGGAATCCGCGGAATGCCAGGGGATTCCAGGACTGTGATGTTTTTATTTTGATTGCCACTGATGAAATCTTGGCACGGATTCCCAGCAGAGTGACTCAAGAGAAATTCATCGGCGCCCCAATAAATTCACGGTCTAATTTATGATTACGATAATAGTCAAAACATGCTTACCAGGAGTTTTTATTGTGCACATTATGCACTAGACAAATTACTTTCACAGTTCTCTAGAGCCGCAATCATCTTATCTAGCAACGTCTTGTCCATTTCTATGTGGAGATTCTCAGTCGGATCTTTTCCTTTCCTGCAATTGATCGTCAAAGAAGTGATGAGTTTCTGGACAGTTGATGAACTGCTGCTGCCAAGAATCCACTTCACGTCCCAGTCAAACGACTCCATAGCCTTTTGTTCAGCGGATATCCTGGCGAAGACTAGTCGTCTCAGGAGTTCCTCCTTCCTGCTCTCGAGCACTGCCACGATACTCTCCTGGAGTTCCGAACTGAGGTAGGAAAAGTAGGATTTCAGAGTTCGCTGATCAATCTTCGCCAAAGCATACTGTGTGAAGATGCTTGTGAGGCTCTTCCTGGCCAAATCAATCTCTTCCTTCTGAGAAAAACCATATTTTCTCCAGGCTGTCAGGGAGTTTCTCTCAGTCTTCTCGAAAGTTTCCTCATCGATGACAAAGTTGAGGAACTACGAAAGAACTCATTTATCTCTTCAACTCTGACAAAATCGTATGTCTTACCTCTCTCAAAACCTCGATGTTGTCGATATTGAGGGAAATCTCATGCATTTTCGGTATAAAAAGTAAATAAGCAGTGAAAACCAAGTAAACAAATCACGGCAACCCTTTTAACCCGACTCACCGCCGTTAGTATTGCCAGACTAAAGCCGTTGGCGCTGTAATCACTCGACTCAGCAGAGAAACTCATTCTAAAGATTCGGCGGGTAATTCATATGCAACGATTTTTATGCTGTCTTTTCTACTCGGACAAGATTAAAAATATATATTTCAGATATTTGTCATACGAAATTTTATTCAATTTGTACATAAAATAAGAGTGTGATTTCCACGCGATAAATATAAAATCACAAGGGATTAATAAGGTTTCTCGGGCTGTGGCGGTTCAAAAATCGTTCCGTAGAAGAGCGGCAGCTTTGTGGCCTCATTGCGGATGAGGAACATAAATGGCACGTCAACTCTCAACACGACATCCGTACCGGTCTTGTGGAGCAGGACCAAAACGGCAGCGCCACCTTCAGTTCCTGAAAATTACACCAGGATTAGCCAAGATATTACAAGATAATAGAAAATGCAATTTACCTTTCTCGTTTATTGTTAGGTCGACTTTGTGAACAACCTCACTGGCGTAGAGACCAGGATTTGAGATAACTCTTCCTCTCAATTGATTGATTTCCTGGAGACTTTCCAGCGCCGAGATTTGCCTACGTGGCCGAGAAAGCTTCTTCTCAGCATAAGGCTTTGTAATCCTCTTTCTCAGCACGAAATCCTTTAGTCTCAGCGGTTCGGATTCTCTTTCATACTTGCTAGCTACTTTGTACGTGGCTCTTTTCTTTCGCGCATTTTTAGTTTTCTGGGTGTCATTACTTGCATCTTTAATTTCTGCTTGCTCATCATCATCATCATCTCCACGCAGACGGGAGAAGATCAGCACATCCTCTCGGTTTTCGTACCGAAGAGGCACACTTGGGGCTGCAAAGCCTCCAGATTGGGTCAGAGGAAGAGTCCGACCAACGTTTCCGAATGCATCTCTGTCGGTGATCAAGGAAAGATCGGCTCTGGCGGGGTCAAAGAGCGTGGTAATTCCGAGCTGATAGAGAATATCTCTTAGTCTGAAGTCGGACGTGAGGTGCATCTTCGGGAGGAAGAGTATGGACGTGTTCATGGTCATTCTGGAAATCATGTAGTCTATCATATCGGGCGACAGATCCCTCTGCAGATCCCTTAGCTTCTGCGGAGTGGAATCATTCGGGATGATGATGTAGAATGTGCTGAGATTGTTCTTGTACGGGAAGCCAATAATCTTGCAATCATACTCCTTGGCGTCGTAATATGGTAGCTTTCCCCCGAAGGACATCATGTCCACCATTATAGATCGTCCTCCATGACCATCAGGATAGAATTCTCGAGGACGCGTGCCTGCCTCGTGGAAAGTCTGCTTCCAGCGAGCATTGAAGTAAAGTGTTGACGCCACGATTACTCTCGTATCTCGAGATAGACTCTGAACGATATTCTTCACTTTCCCGTTGGTTGATTTCTCCACCCAGTTGTTTATGAACGACACTGCGTTTTCCGGATATCTCTCGAAATCCAACTCTGTGATTTCACTGCTGTAGATCGACTCCACGACCGTTCGATAGTTGGGTCGGATGGAGTAACCATTCTGCACGAAGAGACCATTGACGACAGATATACGATGATCAACTGATCCAGCTCCGGCTGCTATTTGGTTCGTCTTCACATTGCTGTCGTTCACGTCATCGAAATTTGTGGCCAAGAGATCGCTGATTGTCGCTGCGAAGTCCTCATGGAGGGTCTGAGAGTTGTCAGTCGAGAGAAGCTTCAGTAATTCATTGTAGGTTTCACCATTGGCGCCCAGGAGAACCAGCTGAAGAGCAGCCGCGATTGCCACTGGTGAATAAACAAACACCTTTTCCGATCGCGAAGCCATGAGTGCCTCCCCGATCTTTTGAGCCAAATTGAGGATGTTCTTCGCCGTGTGTCCATGGTGATGAGGAGACGTGTTAATCACGTCCTGTCGCAGCAAGGCTGAAGCCTCTAACTTCAAACTATCAGGAAGACTGACAGCAGGCCTGAACTGGGTTTGCTCTCTGAAAATTAAAAGCATTAAAAGTTTTCATTTCATCCTGAATCTCCTGAATACATAAACGCATGACCCTGAATTCCAATTTGTGAAAATAATCATTATTCGTGCATTTAGATTACATAGCGCCATAATAGTGTGTTCTTTTTTCTCTATAGATCACGGGAAATTTAACAGGTGTTGTTATTTTTAGACTTCATCGGTGTATTCACCAAATGACCAATTTCGCATTCATCCGATAAGAACATCAGTAAATGAATAATTTTTGCCAGAGCCCAGTTTTTTCGCCTGGCACAATTTAATGCCACAATTAAACTCAAGCACCATTCAAATGATTTTTCTATACCAAATATTTATTGTTTCTTTGTTAGAGTTGGTTTAAACTAGGAAAATTTTCCAAAATACTAAAAAAAGTGGCACATCGATTCAATAATCAATAATCAAATTACTCACGCTATTAGTTCATCAAGAGAGAGTCCTGCCCCACTAACAATTGTCGCCAGGCTAATAAGACAGCAAATCAGCAATTGTTTCGCCATGTTCTGAAAGTAAAATTAATATCCGCATAAGATGAAAGTGATTAGAATTGCCGAATTGGTGGAATTTCAATAATTGTTCACTTTTCTATATAACACTATGCTCATCAATCATCATGCGTTTCCACGCTTTTACACTCTTCGCCGTAATAGTGTATTTATGCAATCAAAATCATTTTTGTGACTTTTTGCCGAGTGAAAAGTGTGGGAATTCCATCAAATTTTCGCGCCGTTCCTTTTAAATAAATCAATCAACGAAAAAGATCCCCTGAAGCAAGTTCAAGGAGAACATGAGGCGTGCGATTACTCGAAATTGACCTCAGTGTCTTGTATTGTGACTGAAGAGCGAAATTTCCATGTGATGTGAATAGTTAAGAATAGTGAAGTGCGGAATTAGTATCCATCTATTTGTCGGGGCTTCTCAGCCGTGCTAAAGAATTACTATCAATTTGCGACGGGGAAAAAAAGCCGTCGCTTTGCGGATTTCCCGTGATCCCGAGTTGTTGTTTTCTTTGTCAACGGATTGGAAAACAGAGAGGCAATGTCGCTTGTTAGCACTTGAAAGAGATCTCATTAAAATTACATCAACTCCCGCATTCTGCCTCGAAGCCCACCGTCATTTGCATTTCCCTCGCAATTTCTCTCTCTTGTCGCGTTTGTTCATCGTCCGGGGTCACAAGGGCACTAAACTGTCGTGAGACCTCGAAAAAATTGTCACCGAAACACGACAACGATAAATTTCGTTGAAAATTGGGTCAGAAGATCATCACACAAGAACTTGAAGAGCTTGTGCCATTTCATGTTCGCCGTTCAGCGAGAGAGAAATTTTTGGTTGAAAAATCAACATTAAATTCAAGGTGAATTCACAAAGCTCAAATACAGCAAATCACTGTGCCCAGAGTATAAAATTTGGAAAGCGCGAGTTATACAATTTCGTAGAAAGAAAAAGTGTATGTAAATCCGTGTTTTCTCACGGAAACATTCTCACTGAGTTTCGAGAATCTCCACTAAACGCAATTGAATCTAACATTGAGATTTCCAAGGGGAATAAAATCGTCAGATGAAATGTCTGCATTCAATCCGCGAAGTGATCATAAAGTTTAGCAGAAAAGTGGGAAAAAATGTGCAGAAATGTGTCGCAACAGCCGCGGCATTTTAATAATGAAGGAAAACACGTGGTAAGTCTTCTGCTTTGCTCGATCTTATGGCGACAATGATTGTTTGATGGAGAACTCGAAGTGTAAATAAAATTTTATAGTTATGCCTGTTGTTACACAAAAGCACTAAAGCAGCTACGCATAATTTATGTTTCATTTTGATTGTAACTTTGATGTAAAATCATTTTATAGCACTATATGAATGCTAAGTAATGTAAAAATGTGTGAAATGCAAGAAAATCAAACAGGATAAACAACAGAAACTGCGAATTCTCGAAGAATCACAACCAATAAAGCACATTACTTAGCACAAGAGCACTGATATCCTCTGTCGCAGTATCTCTCCAAAGCTGTAATAGCGCGCTGAGAAACACCGCGTTTTAAACTCCGATCGGTCGTGAGAAAAAATTATCAGTGTTTTGCAACTTCACGGTTCAAAATCGCAACTTTGGCAGCAAAGATCTTCACTGGGCAAAAATATACTCACGAATAACTGAGACGGAAGATCACGGGAAAAAGTGCACCTGCTGAGGACTGCTTCGACCACGAGCTCGTCTCTCGCATGACTGATCACTACAGGCAAGTTGGAGACCACTAAATACTCCACAGACTCCCCAGAGTCTCGCGGTGAACTCATGAGCGCCGATGCTTAAAACTCCGCACGACTCTGGCGTATTTTTTTCGCGAGGTCTGAATAATTAGAAATGTAATTATTTTCCTACTCTGTGGATGGAGTAAAAATAGAGTATCGCAGGAATTTTCTACGCATAAATTACCATATTGTCCGCGTTATCCACAAACAAACTATTCACGATCTTTAGCGCTCTGCAAAAACCAATATCGCTTTGTATGTGAGAATATCCATGCTGACAAGAGAGCTTGTCTTCAAGAAAAATTGAGTGATTAGAGATGTATTGAAACTACAACCGAGGAAACAATGATACACATTCGGTGAATAATAATGAGACTTTTCCAGTGACTCACACTCTTCCTCATGGATCACTTGCACAATCAGTTTGATGAGCCGCGAAATTCACATGTAAGGCCAAAAAGCGACAACGCATTGTGTGGTTTCTTCTTTTGTCAATTAGCTTTGTGTATCACTTTTCGATTGTTTTTTTTTCTCCAGAAAAACGTGACGATGCTGTGTAATCACACTAAGCAAACGGAAATTCCTTTGAATCTGTTATACTGCAGAGCGCGGGAAGTTTTGCATTTAGAGTGTTTCTCGTAAACACCCAACAAGTGACATGTTTCCTGGCCGACTCATCGATTTGTAGTGTTTAACCTCACAATGTCGCGACTAGGAAGGTTCCTGTTTTGCCAGAGGATTTCCTCCCTTTTGCCGCCCAGGAGACTCCCTGATGGATTGGTGAGACGTTCCATGGCCACTGAGAGGGCGCCCAAGAAGGCGGTGGGGCCGATAACGTGGCGCAGCCTCGGCATCATCACAATTGCCGGAGCCGGTGTGATGGGATTTATGTATTACGTGAAGCAGGAAAAAGAGATGGGTGAGGATTTTCTGCTCAATGTACTGGTCCAGGTGCTGAACATAGGTTTTCTTGACCTTGCAGCTATGCTGAAGGAGCGGAAGAGGCAGCTCGGCAAGGCGGCTATTGGCGGACGATGGGAATTGGTGGATTGCGAGGGAAAAACGAGGAAATCTGAGGATTTCCAGGGCCAGTGGCTCCTGATCTACTTCGGATTCACCCACTGTCCGGATGTATGTCCAGAGGAGCTGGAGAAAATGGCAAAAGTCGTTGATAACATCGGTGAGTTGAGAAATGCTTGAATTTTCTTGCGCAATTCTTATCAGATTGTCGATTTCAGACGCCCTCAAGGATGTGCCCAATATTCAGCCCCTGTTCATCACGGTGGATCCTGAGAGGGACTCCAAAGAGATCGTGGGGAAGTATGTGAAGGAGTTCTCGCCCAAATTGCTCGGCCTGACAGGGAGTTTGGAGCAAATTCACCAGGTGTGCAAGGCTTTCCGGGTGTATTACAGCGCTGGTCCCAAAGACGTCGACGATGACTACATTGTCGACCACACAATCATCATCTATTTAGTGGATCCCAACGGACAATTTGTGGACTATTATGGCCAGACGATGCAGGCAGAGCAGATATCCACGTCCATCGCGGTGAACATGGCCAAATTCAATCAGATGAACGAGAAGTCCTGGTTTGGGTGATATCCAGCCACCTTTGAGTTCTACAAAGTCGAGTAAGTGAGCAAGAAAAGTCGTGATGTAACATACAAAAATGCATTTTCACTTTATTTACATTCTCACGCGTTTTTTACACTGTTGCCATCCCATTTTTTGTCCTCTACTGAGTTATTTTGGTTATTTTCCACTCTTTTTTACTTGTTCACATCATATAAACCTTACTAATACGTTAAAAATTGATTTGGCTTCTGTGGACGAGAAAAACCGCTCAATTTTGTTCCGCAGAAGCATAGAAAATTAAAGAGACGCGAAATTTGTTTGGGGAACTGTGGCGAATATCCATCAGGAATGTATAAAGTAAAAATGGAATGTCATATAAATTCGGTACAATTTTTAATTAAATACCATGAAATGATGCATGTATTATCAGTGCATTTGTGAAACTGATCCTGTTATGAATATGACTTTTTTTATGGTGAAATGCAAACTCAGTCATATATTTTTTTTCGAAAATGTGCAATCAAGTGGTAAAAAAAACATGCCTTTTTACTTGTTAAAAGCATAAATTTTGCTTGAATTTGAGACAGATTTAATTACTTTGTACACTTAAAAAATGTATGTGAAATACAACGAATGAGCACTAATTATAGTTTTATATATAAAATTTATTGGATTTTGCCTGTTACAAGAAAACGAGAATAAAATGAGACGATAAAGTATTTGACAAGGTGCAAATAACTTTCAGAAGCCCTTGGTTGATATTCTCAGAGTATCCTGATGAATAATTTCGCTGGATGTTCAATAAATATATTTTTATATATAATTTGCATTAAAGTTCTTTTGAAATAAGTGATGCGGAATCAACCTGCAATTTATGATACAGGCAGCAGTTTCCTTTTGCAACAGCTTCACAAGAAACTTTGGTCCAATAATCATATTCTGACAAATACTTTCGCGTTATTCTTGTGACTCATTGAGGATTCTCTACATCTGCATAAGTTTCAAATCGACGATTTAGGGCTCACTAAAGTATGTATTTCTGCGGTGCTTAAGCCCTTTATCAATTGTATCGCATTTAGGAGCAGGAAATCAATTACCCGTATAAATAATTCATAAAAGCTTCAGCGAAACCAATTATCAGGCTACTCTGCAAAGATCCTTCCTATAAAAAACATGGAATTGTTTTTTCGTTGTAAAACATGGTAAAAGTAAGCGGATTCTATAAAAAAAGTTTTATTAAAAAACTTCACCTTCACAATCCCGGTTTTTTTTTGCCGATATTATTAAATCTGTTGCTCCACGACATGCATGTTATTTATAGGTTATTATGTATTAGGGAAAAAGGTGGCAGAACAGCACGACATTGAATTCCTTGTTAGGTTCTATTTGAAAACTTGCCACTTGATGAAAAAGTGGACTAAAAACTTTTCATTAGTCCAGCGAGAGCTTTTCAGAAGTGCAACATTGGCGATGTTTTTGCCGTTTGTGCTATCAGGGTGGGTGTGAAACAATTTAGTGTCTCTGTGTTCTTTTGCTCGCCAATCAAGCGGAACATGCGAATGGACATGTAAAAAAGGGGGTGACAACAAAAAAGAATGGATACAAATTCTGTAGAAAATGCCAACAACCGAAGTTATAATTAATATTCGCACGACGCTCCTAAACAATGTTGTAGTTGAGCTTCTCACTGGCAGTGGGTGGTTCGCAGTCAAACGATGCCAGCAGCAGGTCTGCAAAGCGATCCGTCGAATGACATGCAAGGAGGCGGAAACACATTATGAGGGTTTAATTTTCTGGAGAAAACTTCGGAGGTTAGGCTTTTCGCTCTTGCCACAGCAACTCGAGCGAAAAGGCGTGGAAGAGAGCGCCTACCTGTGTCGCTGAGCAAAGTGCAGTGGTGCATGTGTTGCCAGAAGGACTCAAACTCACCGGGCGCGGGCAGAGGGGCGTTCACGGTGCTCACGTGACGTGTGAAAGCACCCACAATGGCCGCTAATCTATCAAAAGCGGCCACATTCAAATGTCCGTTCGGCAACCTGCAATGAAGGGTCATAAATCAAATGCAAATAAAGTGATAAGCTGCACCCTTCGCAAGCCCTCATGAGCTGGGATTTCTGGTGAAACCAGGAGAGATGAATAAAAGAAATCAGTGTTATTCATCTGCGAATGACGAAAGAAAGAAACAGCGAAAATTCACAATGATTCCCTCTATATTGCAATTAAGATAATTAGTTTTCCCGTTTTTCCAGGGAGAACAATATGGTTCTTAATAAGTTCATAAGTAAATGAACAGGGAGTGATATTAAATGAAAGCTCTGACGCATTTCAAAGCTCTGCACGAGTATAAAAGCATCACAACTCATTAGAAAAGTGAAATATACGATTTTTTTTTCAGTATAACTAAACATGCACAAATATATTGAAATTCTTGGAATACAGAATTCAAGCTTTTTCGTGGGTCTCCTTAAAGTCTAAATGTCGCTGAGAAAGCTTAATAATCCAGCTGTTAGTGAGGAACACAAGAAACTGAGCTTAGAGTTAAGATTTGTGAACACGACATTCTTGCATTTTGTAAAAACAATTTAACGACGAATAACGGAGGAAAACTAAGCGACAACCGTGAGAAAAGTCCTCCAAAAAATAATCCAACAATAAAAGATGCTTGTTTGCGATGTTGCAGGGGCAAAAAGGGCGAACAGGCATGTCTTGTGAGATGAGAGCGAAAGCCAAGTGGAAAGCTTTTATGCAAATAAATATCCAACGATTGATAAGGCATCATCAATCATGCTTACTTTATCAAGCAGTCTTCACGTGCTATTAAGGCCAATCGTACGATGTCTGCGAAGACGGGGATTACAACCCAATCGCTGGATTTGACTTTGGTCGAGATGTGCGTGCTGGATTTCTGCTTGCAGTGCCTGATCTTATCGGCTGTTATGCCACTCTCCATCGAGCTTTCTGTCTGTTTGTGCCACAAATCCCCGCATCCTTCCGCGTGTCTCTGCATGCAGTTCAACTGTTGACTCGTTGACGACAGTCTGCTCCACTGAAAAGCACAAGGAGCAGTGGAGTGGGTTAGTATCACTTTATGCTAAGCATTGATGGTCACATAGGGTGAATTGAGGATAATTCGAAGAGCAGGAGAAACGTTTAGAAGCCACAGAAGGCGAGCACAAAGAAATATGAGTCGCTTGTGATCAAATTATGCAGAATTTGTGAGCGAAAGTACACAAAATTATTGATTTTTCGTACAATTGCCATATTCATTCATTTATTCTTTATAGTTGGAAAAGTCATTTGCATTCCGAATATTCATTAGGAAGATTTCTCTTGTCAGTCAGTCGTTGAATAGATAAATTTTATTTAATTTTCATATTTGGGTAAAAAACGCTTCACTCTACTGATTAAAATTCTGCCAACAATCTATTCTATTTTCTGCAATCTCGGTGATATTCTCTGAGATTTTCAAGAAAATTTTATGTTTAGGTCAGCTTTTGCACATTACTTCAGCTCATATAAGATCTTTAATAGCTTCTACTCTGCTTAAACAGCCGCCTTTTGAGCACAATCAGAGTGATCAGAAGGGTATGGATGAACACCATTGAGTAACTTGAATTAAGATGCCGATAAGAAGCTTCAATTCTATCAGATTCATATAAGCATGAAAATTTCCTGTGAAAGTACGAAAGTGAGGGAAAGGGTAATTGCTCGAGAAAGGAAAATGGTAAAGATTGAAGATTCCACTAATATTATTCTGGGGGTGATTCTTCCAATATTGGGTGGAAAAGGGGTGGAATGATGGGATATATTATCGTAGACAAGAAAATCAGTGAAGTGTGCGACGGGACAAAGATTCGAGTGACACCCAGAGAGACTTTGTTCAATTTCTCATGCAGCCTCTCGGTTCCGAAAGAATGACGGCGGGTATTAAATCTTATTTCCGTTTTAGGCAAATGACTCCCACATTCCCTGGACTTTGCCATGGTGATCTTCCGCAGAGTAGATCCATTTAATCCGCAAGGGAAGTGAGGGTGGATGTGAGTGTGTGTGTTTTTGTGTGAGGAAAGTATCTGCCAGTTGCTTATAATTTTACGGTCCAGTTAAGATGTTTTCCACTAATTTAAATGGACCTTTTCCACTTAGAGCTTTCGCGCAACAGCAAAAGTTCTACTTTTCCCCCGAGATGGCAAATTTCCATCGAAGCTCATGAGGAAACTTGCGTTGAACTCTGACCCTACGGAATGCCTAGCATTGTGGGAAAAAATCAACTGGAGGAAATTGAGAATAGGAGAAATACGAGAAGCACAATCTTGTGGGGAGTTCAAAAGTCAAAACTTTTTAAACAAGTTACAGGGAAGTTGCTGTAATGTGTGCAGTTGAGTATCTTCAATGAACCTCACATGGGAGCAAATGAAGTGCGATGTTGCATTTTGTACTCAAAGAATAAGATTGACTGGTGGAGAGTAAATAATTAAAGTGAATAAAATGCTCTCAAGAAGGTACAGCAACTCTGTCGAAGATCATCAAAACTTCTTCATTAATACCCTTTCACACTCTTCAAACTTCCTTGATGTTATTTTGTAAGTGTAGCTTACGAATATACCAAGATATCCATGTTAAATGAAAGTTTATCAAAAGTCCTTCCATGCAGTGTTGTCTCATAATTAAAACGTGGAGTTTTCCACATCAGCAATCACTCCTTGCAACCGTGGGGAGTGTCTTGCGCCTTCGTCAGTTGTTGACGTGAGCGTCGATCGTGAGTGGCGAAGGGTGAGAAGTAACGAGGGCAAAAAGAATTATCCACTTCCCGTCGAATTGGGGTGGAAAGGCGACAGACTTACAAGAGAGACTCGACTTGTTTGTGGGTGAGGGCGGAAAGTCGAAAGTTTTCCCAAAAGCTCCAACGTGAAAGTAAAGGAGGGAAAGTTTCATTGCTTGTCTCACAATCTAAGAGCATACAAGTCCCATCGAGAGGACAAAAGGGGGTGGAGGGAAAAATTGATTTGTGTGTCAGAAACACTGGCCAATGTGCCATGGTAAAATAGCTCCGATGGAACTCTAATAAGTAATTTTCTCCATCAAATCCACAGAGTCTCCTCTCAATTCCCAATGTATACACAACTTCATAATGTGCAAGTCACATCAATTTGGACAAGAGTTGGACTGCATGTTCAGCGGAAGAATTCTCACAGCAAATTTCATACGAAATACTCTTGTCACACTGAGAATGATTTACAGTGTTCGGGTTTCGAGACACTCTTGGAAAAACTTTGCATAATAATTTCACACTGAGAAACTTTCTCTCCGCACAAGGTACATTGAGGGCAATGCCGGAGGTCTCCGAGTTCCAAACTGTATAGGAAAATGGTTAAAGACTGCACAAAGTGCTATTAATTAATTGCACATGAAAGTCACGTTGGATTCATTTAAAAATTCTCTCTGCTCCAAATACTTTTCCGCCTACTCACGACACACAATGAGCATTCTTTTCTGCAGCCTTCTGTGCTTTTACTCTATGTCCTTTGCTTATTTGGTGTTTTTTTTATATCCATGTTTGCGAAATTTACTATATTCCACAAATTGTCGCATAGCTCTTCCACCAAGTATTATATTAAAATTCACATATTAAAGTTAAGCGAGGCGGTTCAAATTAAAATAAAAGAAGAAGCGGGGAAAGAGCCAGAAAATAAGACTACTTCATAACCCCCTAATTAATTTTCCTAATCCTTTAAGTTTAAATAATTAGGGAAAGTGTGTATATATAAGCATAAGTAGGTTCATGTTTGTCAGCATCCCCAGCAGTTTGTGGTTGGATCAATATCAGGGCTCTTCAGAACGTGATTTTTATAAAAATTACACGAATTGAGAGCGTTCAAAACAATACGGTTACCACGATTTTTAATTGGAAAACTTGACAATGACGAAATCGATTTCAGTAAAAACCAGATAAATCATTGCGAAGGATTTCATTAAGGGCAAGTCGGCATCAGATCGAGGATCAATACTCGGCTTTGACGAATGTGTGGGTGTAAACATGCTATTAGCACGAAAACAATCTCATGAGGACATCAAATAAAGCAGCGAAATTGCTTTTGCAATGGAAATTCCAGAGCCACAAATCGCCCTTGAAGATTTATCCGCACAAATGCTCACAAATGCGGAATACACGGATTCTGGAGCGGATTTGTGCGATTTTTCATCCATTCAGCAAATAATATCCATAGACGGAAATGAGTGTGGAAAACTTTCTGTCGACTGTGTGACTTCCGGTGTGTGTGGCAAACCGTCCGCAATGAAAATCCCTCAACTCTTGTGCGGTATTTGCCATGGCGAATGACGGTTGTCGCTTGCCTGTGCGAATGAATATTTTATTATTTACCTCTGGATCGGGTTGAGTGTCCCGTCCGCAGTGTAGTAATGGAAAAAGTGGACAGACGCACGAGAGAAAGCATCCGGGATTAGGCTATACGTACATGAGATTTCAGGGATTCGAGGTTTATTGCTACTTGACTTCTTGTTCCATAAAACAGTTGACAAAGTGTGACCTGATTTTTGGTATAGCCATGACCTGGGTTATGTATTATTAAAGCAATTTGTCAGGCCACCTTTTTGCAAATCTTATGGGAACTGAGATTTCCGAGCAGCACGCGTCAAATAGTAGCCGCAATAAAAAAGCATCTTCAGATACCATAAAACCATAGAACTTTTATGAGTGTTCCCGAGCCAAAAACAGGACAACCAGCCGGAAATCCATTATCGCCCACTTTGTCATAGTCAGCAAAGTCCAAAACACCTTTCCGGGCTGTTCGCAGAGCGAACTGCACACGCCGTTGTGCTGCGAGTAAGAATGCCGGCATGAGAGACACCCTGTCGCATTATTTATTGCACGAAGGATTTATGTTTCTGAAATGCCATCAGCGTTTGCCAGAATTATCCTGCACTCCAGCCATTCGAGCAAATACACACCGTCGAAAATCTTCCTCATCTCCTTGAATATTTCATCTGAAGCGACACCAAGGATCGCCCACCTGATACTTAAGCGGGCGATGGGAAATCCGTAGAGAAATGTGAGGAATTCACTGATGCTAAGAGGCATCAGTGTTTGAGGAAATAAAATCCCTCGGAGATTTAAGTCAGATCGGAACTATCAAAGTGAATTTATCTAATTGGACAAATTGGGAGATGCTGTCTTGCAAGCTAATTTTCTACTCAGCTCTTCTCTTTTTGGACTCTATTTTGCTTCTCTCAATACGATTACTCACCGTGCCTGTGAGACGTGCCACCGGAATTGCATCCAGTGTCTCGAGAATCGCGGTGGCACTATTGTAGTTGCCCACCAGGAGACAATATTGGGCAGCACCACTCCACATCTCGACAATCCGACTTCTCTCCGTAATTCCGTCGCACTGCAAAATAAATGGGTTTTGAGGCATGGCATTAATTGCTGTGAATTGCACATCATTTCAGGTTCTGTCTCCAGCACACCACAAACTGCCCCCGTTCCCCCAGCTTTATGAGACAAGTTTAGAAAGTCAATGAGATACATATTTCATCCACTGACAAATGCCTGGGAGAAAAATTCTGCGAAAAGCAGTGCGAGGAGGACTAAGCTTGGTGAAATACTCAGCTTCCTACCAAGAAAATGGGATAGTAATTCAAAAAGTAAAGATCAAGCCAATTTATGCTAAATTAAGCTTTGTGTATAAATATTTGCTTCGTTTGGCACTGTATAAATAAAATCCGCGACGTGAGTTCAGAAAAATGTTTAACATTTGCTCCGTATTTGGCTGCGGGGCATTTGAAGACAACCCACAATTATTTTTGTAAAAAAAGAATTTTCTCAGAAATGCAACAAATTATATAATTGGAACATGAACGAAAATCCTCCTAATCAACTTCTAATGGAATGTGAACATTCTGTGTGACCCGGTCTTCAGAGAATACATGAGAATCGACTTGTCCTCACCTGAAGGATATCGTTGGATGCCAAGAGGCGAAGTCGTGATGACCAATCCAAATACGTTTCCAAGTTGCATGTCTTCTTGGGATCCTGATTTCCGGGAGTGCCATTTTGTGCACAAGTTGATGAACTGTCCTGCTTGCTCAAAATGTTCCCATTGCATTGCAGGAACTCTTCCGGTCCCACATGCTTCGCCAATTTCCTCTCGATGCGACACAGCAATTGAGCCAGTTGAGATGCTGACGTCCACTTCATGTCGCTCTGCACGGCACAGGGAGAATGGCATTGGCTTTAGGAACTCTCAGTTTATAGCCTCCTACCTTGCGCCCACATATTTCACCCATAACGAGGGATTTGAGAGTGATTTCCTCCACCGAGAGCCACTCCTCGGGGGCCATGCCAAAGGCTTTAATGAAAAATCAATGCACTTTGCCATCATGGTCCACTTGTTTTCGGCATTGGAGCCACTGTCGCTCGGCGGGGGCGGGAGACTGAGCTTACGAGGGTACAAAAACCCAGACGAAGGGTGGAGAGAGGAAATCTATTTGCCCACCATTGTGCAACCCGAAAAATTCAACTCCCCAGTGAAGGTTATGTGAATGGAAAAGCCCTCGAGAAATGACTTGGAGCTCGATTGCGGCAAAAAAAATGTCATTTGTACTATTTGTAGAGGTCTTTTGCTGGAGTCGAGAAAGAAGTGCACAAGACATTCTGTCCACATGCCTTTTGATGTCGACAGACAATCCATATTCACATTATTATTCGGGGATGAAGTTAGCAAACTGCGCTTGCCATCGCAATCCCAAGAGCCATATTCCATTCTCCCAGCTCTTTCCCATTCTTTGGCTGTTATCTTGCAGACATTTTTCAATTTAACCCAAATAATGCCGATGTCAATGGTCTTTCTGAACATTAAGGGCCATCTGAGCAGAGGTACGCCTCTATACCACATAAATTCATTGTAAAATTTTAATAAGATTGCTGTAAAGAATTTTATGATTCTATATTATGCTCAACCTAGTAAAACTTTTGTTGAAATTATTTGAAATGGAGCCTTGTTTATGTTAATCCCTACTATCCAGAACATTGTTCGGACTGAATTTATCACTGTTCCTCGCAATAAAATGCAAATGGTATGGAAATTATCTGTTATAGTCGTGCAAAAATCTATGTTTAACACTGTCAAGTGGGCCAAAATGAGACCTTTTACATTTAGTTACTTATTTTTGTCACTTTTCAGTATACAATTTCACATGTTGACATTTGAGTTCCTTCCATTTCACGGTTCTTAAATGTTATATTTGTGTTCTCTTTTTCATTCGCCTGAATAATTAAAGGTTTTTTTTCCGTTGACTCACAGTTTTTTGTGCGAAAGTTTAGGAAAATACACCTCAACTGAGAGCTATTAAACCAAACCATTTCACGTGCAATTTACATATTTAGTGCAATTCTGATGCATTTTTCATGGCAGGTTTTTTTGCCAGGCCGCTGTTATTTAGTGTGCAAAGTGACGCCACAACCGAATCCTCTCTATATTTTTGTAAAACGTACGTTATAGATGTTTTTTTTCTGCCTTCACCTGCAATTGAGGCATAAATTTTCAATATATCTGCTTTCATGCTTTGCCTTTCTCCGCGCCACAGAGTCAAAAGTTATATGAAAATTGATATTTTCCTGGGTGGAGTGCTCAATTTTTGGGGCCACGAGAATTTTTTGTGGGTTATTCATGAGCAAACAGATGAAAACTATTGGCAATTTGCATGTCTCCCTTTTTCCGCCAAATAATAAATCAAACACGCCGGGTCGGCGGGGTTATGGACCCTCTCACAGGGATTTTATACGTGGTGAAAGTTGCGGTGAAGGTTCTGTCGGTCTCATAAATTACGTTCGGGTTATTCCTCAAATATTGGCTACTCACTTTTTCCATGTTGGATTGACAGGCACGCAACTCCTCCTCGTGATGCTCCAGATCGGTGAGACGATTTAGCAAGGCACTCAGTAAGTCGGAGACTCTATCACCAAGTTCAGTGTTTGCACATCTGCGATGAGGCTGATTAATCAATGTGATTTGTCACGAGTTTGGTGAATGTGAGCCATTTACCTGGCAACGATATGTTTCACGTGACACATGATTCTCTCATCTCGGAAATCGTAGGGGAAGATCTTGGTCCACAGTCCGAGGAGTCCGACGAGGCGATCCTGTGGCTCGTGGTCAGGTACGGAAGACAACAGTTGCCCGAGGAGCTCGTGAGGGCGCACAAACAGACGCGATGACAAGAGGAAGGAGAACACATAGTCCTGCAGATGGAATAAGACATTCTCATTGATTATGCATGATTGCATCAATCAATAACCTTCCTATGAGATTAAGAGTCCTGATTTTCCACTTATTGTATCAAAATGTCACCCTTCATCGGGGTCTATTTTCGAATACAGGCCAAACAATTTGACTAATTAAGTAGTTGAAGTCTTAAATCAATTCCCTTGTGTGCAAAATGTTATTTCGGGTTTTAAGCTAATACGTATAAACTCGAGAGAATCTCTCCCGGGCTTTGGATAAAGCTACAAAATCTCTCAGTATATCAAATGATTTCCAATTCACAGTCCGCTCTGACGAACGACCCCATTAAGCTCTAAAACGGGGTTTTGCAGCGAGCTTGCGCTGAGATTAATGCGATCAATTTTGGAATAAGCATAAACATGTCGGTTGAAGGTGCGTTCGCAGTTGATGGTATTGTATGGCAATGTGCAGACGAAGAGTATATCTTCAATAATGCACTTAGGGTTTGAATTCAAAACCATGAATTGTCATGATTAAAGTATAAAGTTTTTCGGAACGTGCAGCAATATTCAGCACGAGGAGTTGCATACCTTATGTGCTGCTATTACTCAATTTAGCATAATGTTTGTGGTGGGAATAAATCAGGAGAACGAGCTCATGGACTCACCTTATCGAATTCATCACACTTGGCCGGCATGAGGGAGTCAATTAGTGAATCCAGAGGACCGGAAACCGCATTTCCATTGCTGTACATTATACCACCAGGTCCCAGAGCAGCGTTCTGCAACAATTCAACCATGCGATTATGATTAAGCGACGGTTACAAATGTTATTCGTCCTGAGACGTGTGGCCACGCTTCCGTCCATAATTCCGGGTATTTTGCGGCTGTCTAATCTGGCATATAAAGTAATGTGAGCATTCACACAAAACCACTTTGGAAGGTGTCTGTAAATGGTCATAATCAATATTGCAGGGATCGGAAGTCCTTTCAGAATTACAGTGCAACCGATCACGAGCATCCACATCATTCAATAATGTGGAAGTAAAATTCATTGGTCTCGAAATAAATTGCCATTATTTATGTACAACGAAACAGAGTCACGATGTTGTTTATCCAGCGTTAATATCAATGGTGAATATAATCAGCAATGCGAGGGAGGCTCGTAAATAATGGATGATTGAGTGGATACCCGATAAACACCATGTTAATTTTATATTAGGAAATAGGCTTTTGTGCTCAGAAATGGACGTCCGGTGCGTGTCTATTTGATAAGATTCATATCTTTAAGAGCTCGTGATGTTGCGTGATAAAATTTGCAAAAGCAACATGAGACTACGAACAGAATTTGAGACTCCAATTCAATTTTCATTCGCATTTTGCTGAAAGCAAAATACACAGAAGCAATTTGAGCATGAGTTTGTGTTTCTCAGCGAAAATGGATTAAGAAAGTGCACTTTGTGTATTTTAGTTTCGAACTTTTAATTTAATTATACTGAGCATCATATCAGATATCGAACAATAAGCTCTTGACTTGAAATAGACTTTCTAATAGTTAGAGGCGAATTTTTTAAATAAAGAATAAGTGGATTCCTTCTCTTTCTCTGTCAAGATTTTAAAGCGATTAAATCAAGGTTTAGATAAGTTACATATAAAAATATTCTGAATATGTGAGGATAATACTCTTATATAAAACAAAGGGAAAACTTAAAACGTTAATTGAAAATTTTGCTGGCTTTTCAGGATTAAATAGACTAAATGTAACCGTCAATATCTTGGTCAATATTGTATGTAACACATTTTCATAATTTGCAGCACTGCAAATCTATCTTATCAGTAATTTTACTAAAATAACACCACTTCGTAATGTAAAACCGCTTAAATGAAAATCCACCAATCTTCCATGGATATCATATCGCATTAAAGTAATGAAATGTGGGAAAGCACGCTATTAATTCTCTCAATTTCACATGAATAATACCCGCCAGTATTGGCCTAATCTCGCGCATGAAAGTTCATTTTCAGTCAAATACCAATCAATTGAAAATTGTGGTTTTGCGCCAATATGGTTCATTTACATCAGCGCGGTTGCTGTGGGCTGCAACCCCACGTTCTCGCGCCGAGCTGAAGTAGTCGGCACGAAGTAGGGAAAGAGTTAAATTGAGCGGAAAAGTCTGTAAGTGGGTAATCGAGACGAGAGCATAATTCCTCCAATGAACTCAATTGTTTATTGAGCGCGATTCTATTGTAATTTTGAACGGAAATCTGTTGATGCTTTGACTAAGTTTCATTCTGATACTCATCAATGAATTTCTGGGAAATTGCTCCAAATTCCCGCAAGTTATTTCGGGAAAAATTCCAATATTAACCAACTTGCATATTCCCTGAGGCTTCTAATATCTTGTGGCGTATCGCAGTGCGCTGCACATCTGCAATAAATTGAATATTTGTGGCATTTGAATCCCAAGTTTGGAATGGATTTCAAGTTTTAGGAGCTCAAAGTTGTTGATGTGTAATTATTCATGGTGAGAAGGTTGCAGCTGAAGTAACTGAGTAGCGACACTGAGTATAAGTAAGCTATTATCCATTCACGAGAAAAGACGTTGGAAATTTATCATTGTCGCCTGAGTATTCTTCCCTCCTTATCCGCACATCTTCCTTCCTCGTCGCGCTCATTACCAAATAGATCGAACAAATTGTTGAAGCTGAAGGTGAGATGTTGTCATAAATATTCCGCAAAGTCGAATTTAATTTAAGTTCTTCACCCTAAACCCCAAAACTTACACATAACGACACGACGACGCATCAATCACGCTCGATGGTGTGTTCGCGCGCGAATATGTCACATTCACTTTGTCGCTGTCAGCGGAGATTTTCCTCGTGATCTTCTTCAGCGATATGGGGGTTCGAGTGGAGGGAAGTTCAATTCCTTGGCGGGCGTGGCAAAGGGCGAAGAAGGGTCGCGGCACATCAGCGAGGTTAATAGTATAGAGCGCAATTGTTGCGTGGCCTCTCGACTGAAGAGAAAATTCAGCCATTATGTGAGAGCACTCGGGAAAATTATTAATTGAATTGAGATTGTTCGCTCTGGGCTTTTTCCACACTAACATTACAAAACTCTTTCCGACGTTCCGGGCGGAGATGATGATTTTGCCCTGTGAATTCGCGCTGTGTCTTCCAAATAAATACATTTAAGTAAATTATTTCAATTTGTCAAATGAGAACACACTCAAGTTAAATGGTGTTAAATAATTCTTCATGTTGAATTTGAACATTTTATTAGCATTAAAGTCAAATTGATGGCATTATTGCTGGGGAGATGCGATATGCTAGAAGTCAGGATGTGCCAAATCCACTTTGCGGAATATTGAATAAGTCCAAATTCCTGGAAAAATCTGCGTGAATTTTTCAGGGGACGGAAGGCAGGGCATAATTAATTGAAATTCCTTCCTCGACAGCACAACCCCAAAAACTCCCACGTGCCACCGAGTCCCTGGGCCATCATTAGGCAATTAATTACAGATTGAGTGGTGTGAAATTATCGCGACATTGCGCGCAATTGACCACCATGAATGGGAAATTCTCCACGCTGCTGGGGTGGAAACTTACCGTGAGACTTGGGGGTGGATTCTCACATGCCACTTCCGGAGGCTGTGCCGAGGTGCCGTGAATGGTTTTTTGGTCGCTATCTAACTGACTGGAGGATGTTTTTGCCTGCAAAGGAGAGAATAAAAAGGAGACACGGCCATTATAATTGAATTATTGAGACTCTTTCACGTTGAAAGACCGATAAAATCTCACTCCCTTGGTCCTACAGAGCTTTCATGTCGGCAATATATTCAAGAGGCATTGATTTTCAACTTTGAGGAAAATTCGAATTGAATAGCCTAGGAAATGGATCATGTGGAAAATTCTGTTTCATCTCTTGTCGAACGTCTCAATGCCCACCAGAGAGATTCGTGAGGTGCACTTCAAATAGACCATTTGAGGAAGAAACTGAAAAGGAATTTACAGACGATATGCTATTAGAGACCCAGTCGGTCATTCGCTCATGCCTCATGAAATGTACAACTTGTTCACTGTCCTGGGAGAAAATCCCATCAACCACATTGGACTCAGATAAATGGCAACGGGAGAAGGCATCACGAGCTCCTGTTAAAAGCTGGAGAATGTATGTTTGCAGTATTTGATTGTTGTACATACATTTCATTGATTATACGTTCTACCTTCACAATGTTACCCCACAAATTCACTCTTACTCTGCTCATTTCAATTACCCATGGGCTCTAAAATTTATTTTCTCCCAACTCAAACTCACGCTCTTTACAATTTAAGTTTGAAAACTATTAAATTCAATTAGTATTTTAATGTCTTACTGAATTCATTTTTACAAAATTGCTGTTTTTATTTCTTTTATCGTGAAGTTGGAGGAAGGAAATCTGTGGGCGAGTATAAATGGTGAACAAATCCTGAGACTTTCCCTCAGTGAATCACTACACTGTGAAATAATTGAGCAAATACGGGTGTTTTTGTGAAAAACCTAAGACAAGTGACTTTGATTCCCGACTGAAGAGTCCTCAGAAAGTGAGAGGGTGCGCTTCTCACCCAGTGGTTGAAATCAAATTTACTGGGAAAATCAACATAATTTAGGATGAGAAAACAAGCTAAAACATCAAGCTGTGGCGAGTGAATACGAATAATTATAGAAACGTACAAGAAGAGCTTTGGCCGGAGGTAAGAAGGCGTAGAAATGATGTCTGTGAGGTGGAAATTAAATTAGGAAATATTTTTCTCTGCGAAAAACTCATCTGTTTGACGAAACATTGCAAGTTAAAAATGCTAGAAAAAAAAAGTCAGGAATCTGATTGTCAAAGTGTTTCCCGAGAAAGGGAGAAGCCTAAGTCGCGTATTCACCTTTTATTCCCGTTAATAATACACACATTGAGTGTCGAAGCTATAAAACACACGCCATTGGAATTACAAAGAACCTCCGCAATCAAGTTCCATGTCTGAGATTGACTCTGAAAAGTCGTCATTGTTGATGAAGTCGCGTGTTTTCATTCGCATTTTTTGTTGGGTGGAAAAAAATGAAGGATAAGAGTTGGAAGGAGACAAGAAGACAGTTTAGAGATGAAATTGTTTTCTCATTTGACCCATTTTCTCCCATCGACAATGTTGTCTTTGCAGCTCAACATGTTTTCTAATTTCATCTCAGGTTATTCTGCGTCGAAAATTCATGCTGTTCTCATAAATATTCAGCATTTTGAATCACAAGAAATCTGCTAAAATCAAGGCTAAAATATTCCAAATTATTCCGAGGCGAAGAATTGCTGCAAAATTATTAAATACATCAGTTATGCTGAGGAATTTCCAACCACTTTTCACCCACAGAGATAATAATTCAGAGCGTCCATCTCTCATCTGGTGAACATGCAACTCTGAGCGCGTATAATTTAGCGAAAATGATGTGGATGGGAAATGAATTTGGAGGGGAATACAATCCCTATTCATGAGATTCTTTTTCAGGGCGGTATGCAGGATTGCGCTGGGAAAAAATATGGAGCAAATCCTCGTCGCTTAGAAGAATTTCCACATGAAATGTGATCCGAGACTCGTGAGCATGCACAAGAGCGACCACAATTAAGAAGGAGCGAGTCTTCATGGTCCTGGGGTCGGGTCAATTTGGCAACGACACGAGCACACATACCGTGGCAAAATGGTCTGCGGTGTTATTGTCATCGTTGTCGTCGTCCTTCTCATCGTCCTCGCTGCAACTTCCACCCACGAACCTGCGTCCGGTGCCTCGATGACGGATCCTCTGGGACGAACTCTGCTTGCACCGTGCACCACATGCCACGGCGGACAATTTACTGGCGTAATAGTACATCGCCATACGTCAGTAAACAACTATTATATCCAGAGAGACTTTCACGCGGAAGTGTGTGACAATCTGGGCACTACAGCGACATTCCTAGTCCGCCCTTCCGGCATCAACTGCACCACTTTTGCTGATTAACCAACACACGGATCACCTGTTGTGGTTCCATATCGTTCCCCCTTGTGACACTGGCTCGCAGCTTGACATTCAATTTACGATCTCCTGACCACAAGCACTCAACTTCCTGCTAAATGCGCAATCACAATTTCACGATCATTTCACTGGAAAACTCATCAACACTTCCCGATGCGAATAATGAGTTTTTTCACACTCTAAAAATTATTCAAAAGCGTTTATTGTCGCGGCAGAAGAGCCTTCAAGAGATGACGAGTGGTCACCATCTGTCTTTCTCTGAACAATATTCGATATTGATTGAGATAGAGTTGAAAGTATATAGATCTAGTGTCAGCACTCTAGCTAGAGACACGTTTGCTCTAACTTCATTTCACAATATTCTAGACTAGATTGATGAAGAAAAGCATATTCAGAAATGATATTTCAGTGATTCATTCAAAATTTGAATATTCAATAAAAGGAGAAGGAAAATACAGAGTCAATAAAACACAGTCAGTTAGGTCAATAAAGCCAATAATGTGGAAAGAATTGAGAAGAGGAAACCCATCAGGAGCAAAATATGCAGAGGACACTTCTGCAAACTGGGTCATTCACATTTGTGGGGTAATAAAAAATAAATTGCATAAAAAAAATACAATTATTTCGTGCTTGTGATTTGTTGTCCTTTATTGATGGATTTCCGAGGAAATTCAACCCGACCTATTGATGTTCTGCCGAGGGTGAATTGATGAAACTCCCACCTTTTTCTTGTCGCAATCCGGATTCAATGACTGGGAAAAAAATTCCCACAACGAGATTAAAATGATAATTTTATTGGTGATGAAAATCCAACTTTTTCCATTGCACGGTTTGTGGTTGCGGCTTTCGGGGGGTGATTTTGCCAAGAAAGAAGAGTACTTTAATAGGCATAGTTGGGTCAATTCCGGATGGCAATTGTGGAGGGCAAATGCAGGAAGTTCTGGCACTGAAATTGTGTTGATTTCACTTAGAGTGGCACATCAAATTTTCCGAAACGATCTTGAAATCACTCTCTCTCTCTCTCGGTCAAAGTAATTTGACGGAGGAAATTGAGGATGGATGCCATTGATTGGGAAATGATGAGAATTCACCATAGAATGGAGCAATTTCACTATACAAGGGCTTCGAGAATGACACAATGTTAAAATTCTTAGGCAATGAGGAGGCCTTTTTGCATGTGAAATGCTCACTGAATTGAAACCACGAACTCGATGACGTGGCAAAAGCGCTCCTTCTGTCTAGGGAATTCTTGGGAAACGCACCAGAGCCCTTGAATTGCCCAGTCATTCTCCCATGAGAGTGGAGAGAGGGATGAAAAAGCAGGGAGGCGATGAAAAAAGAGGAAGCGCCAATAAGTGTAATCAACGTCATCTTTTGAATACACCCTTCACAAAAAGCATCACTAGACCACACAAAGTGATGTGACAAACTTTGAATTTTAATAAAAATATCATTTCCGTCGGCCTGGTTAATTGAATGAAGAATTATATTTTTTATAGATGTCATTCACAGATTTTATCACACTGCTGATGTTTGCGAATATTAAATATGCCCATTATTTATTAAACTATCGAAAGCGCTCAGCTTTTTTCAGCCTCACTACCACATTATGTATCAACAATGATGTTTTCACATTCACTCCCTCTCAAATACCCGCTGTCCGCGCTTCAGCATATTTGCACAAGGATTCGCAGTGAAATCATTTGGGTATATAAACCGCATATTTTATTCATGAATTGAAGGGTGGAAAAGGAAATCTTGCGGGTTACTTGTCCATATTTCTTCTTTTTTTCACCCTCATGTCTTTTTCGGGACACTTTCGAAATTCTTTGCATGAATCTGTCTCGCGCCCGGGCTCAGATGCAACCCCTTAACGGATGGGTTTATGTAAAATACGTCAAATAAATCGAATGCAAATATTGTGGGGAATGTATAATGAATTTCAAACAAAGCTATTTGATATTGTCTGAGTTACTGGATGAATAGTTTTAAGCGCGGGAAAAAATGTCGCTATGGATTAGTTTATAAATCATGCAATCCTAAACCCATCAACGAAAATTAAAAGTAGGATCACATCTATTCAGTTTGTAATATTCGCAAATCCGATAAACCCTCTCGCGCGGGTTGAAAATTCATTTTTCACTACTGCGAGTGAAAAGCTCTGATTTTAGTGCTTTCTCGCGGGAAAGCGCTTTCACCTCAAAATGGATGATATGTGCAAAATTTAAAATGCATAGCATCTCTTTCATTTTTTTCCCCTTGCAATGCCATCTGAATTTTTCATATGAGGGAAAATTTAATTTGCAATGGAGAGTAGTCGCGGTCTGACTAAAGACTCTCGACTGCTCTCGACAGATGTAAAGTCGGTGTGCTTGTCGAGATTCTCACGTTGAAAAATGTGGAGTGAACCAGATTTCAAATAACTTTAGGCATAAATTTAATTTATGGATGCAGCCATTTGGGTAAGAGTGTCGGGGTGTTTCAAAAGGCTAGCGAATGACGAAATGTGACAATTTATTGACCTTTCCTTCTGCCGGAGACTGAGTGAAAGGGATTCCCTCTCGAGTGTGTGCGAAGAAGTGGGTGTTAGGGGTGGGATTTTTTTTTTGTAATAAGACGTTGTGAATTGTGGGGAATACAAATCGTCACATTGGGAAACACAATGTGACGCTGGAGAGGATCTGTTTGGATGAAAAGGACCCTCACTGGCAATCTTTCCTCTCTTGGCTCAAGTGTAGGGACGTGGAGATAAATGTTGAATTCAATACCCAACAGAATGGAAATCAATTTAAATTCAGAGAGTCAATGAAATCACATCCCACCACAGACTGTGGGGTTGGTTTTGTCGGGTGCCCAAAAGAAGGTCATTAGGGTGGCAATTTTGGAATTGTTGCTGCTAAGCAATTTTGGTAGCTCAATAGGGATTTTCCGGTGGGAAATTGTGGGTATGGTTTCTTTAAAAACACTTTCACTTAATCCGACAAATTGATCCACAAACATCCATTATCCTCACTCAGGCAAACACTTCTTAAGCACCTTCTCAGTCGGAAAATCACTTACACAACACAACGCGCATGGAATTCGGTGGAAAGGTAATCACATTTATCATCATTTAATCCAGAGAAATGTCTAGCATTACACAGTTTCCCCAACAAAACTTTGAACACAGCTACAGTCAGACCTTGTTTTCAGCACCACTCTTCGTCTTCGTGGTCAGACACCAACTGATTTTACCCCAACAAGCTTTTCAATTCAAGAATCTTGAGAATGCGTTACATTCCACACGTTCCACAGCTCTCCTATCCCAACAGAGCATGCGCAGTGCAGAGTTTTCCCCTTACTGCGAAAGACTCTCTATATTGGGACCAAAATCATCTTAATGGTGAATTACCCGAATCGCCATGCCCGAGGAAATCACACTTTTACTTATTATCTCGCATATGAGAATTCCCAATGGGGGTTGCAAGTAGAATATAGGATGTGTCTCAGTGTCATCTTCAATGAATTTGTCATGGCTGCTGACACGCGGAGCATAAGAAATGAATTCAAGGGAAGTTTTGCTATAAGAAAAACTTGAAGGTATTTCCCGCATATGCTCTCCAAAGTTATGATACAGTCACATGCGAAAAGACTCTTATGTCTCCAATAGATCCATAAATAAAATTATTTCCTTTTCCTTTACGTGTCGGACCAAGTTTAGGGTCAAGCCAGGAGAAACCTTCAAATATTCATCTAAGGGAATATGTAACTTTGTGCTACAAAATAAAAGATTCACTTGATTTCTATGACGTTTCGCAATTACTTATTCATGCAGGAAAAGCCAATTTTGAGCAAGTTTGGACATGAAAGGCAAAGTACAAAAGCACGGGAAATGAGCTTCTCCATGGGTGTATTTTAGAAATGAAGTGAAAATTGAACTCATAATTGAATACAAAGCAAATACCGGAGTTCTATGAGTAATTACTTGATAAATTAATTAAATTCATTGTACTTAAAATATGGTTGTAATTTCTGTAATATCGTAAAAGTTTATTTATTGTATGTCATCATTGGTACAAAAATCCTTTGTTTTTAACAGCATAAAGCGAAATGCGTCGTTAGGGAGAATCCTCTGAAATCAAGGATTTTCATCTCCAGAAGCCACAGCAATATTTTCTCGTAATAATAATAATCATTTAAATTTACTGTCGAGTGATGCATGTTGAGAAATATACGTATGGTATGAAATTGTGAAATTAATGGGGAAATCCTCAAAGATGAAACTTTTAGACATGTTAATTAAATTATCTGGCAAATTTTCCAACTTTAATCTGCCAAAATCATGCCAAAGCACTGAGGAGCAAAGCTGAATTTAACATATTACATAAATTTCCCGGAAATAGTGAATTATCTGGGGTGAAAGTGACTAAAATGGAAATCAAACATGAAATTATGCACAAAAAATATTAATTTGTCTTTCACTGCGTTATTTGCATTAAACTAAGTGGGATTTGCACTCGAATTTACATTGAAAAAATATGGAAAGCGGTAATTAAATGCAATGCATTAAAAAATACGTAAACAAGAACGTAAATATTTGTAAGAGATAGAAGAGTGGCACGTTAATCCATTTTGTGCAATGAATTTTCCATTTTGCATTGATGGATATTGTAAAATTGAATTGGAACAATTCGTGCCTCTCAGGATTTTAGTAATTTTCCTAATGGAATGAATGAAAAAATGCACTGGGAGATTCCAGGGAAAAAAATTCCCTAATTGAACCCAGTGAACAGTGAATTTTCCCAGAATTTAATTTGAGATGTGCATCAATTTCTTGGTACCTCAGAAAGCTCTCTGGCCTAAGAATTGAAGCCTTGTGAGTGGAATTTTCATTGTGCTCAGCAAGAATTTTACATTGTGGAAGTCATGATAAATAGATGAGAAGATTATGAATAAATACACTCACATTTTCATAAATGAACTTCTGTATATCTTGAATTTTCTATGTGAAAAGCTCTGAGGGTGAAAAATAGCGCAGAGAAAGACGAAAGTTGGATATAATTGTCATGTTTTGCATTGCGAGCTGGGGAGATATCATTTTAATGTACACCAAATGTTAGAATTCGGTTGAGTGAATGGCAGAATATTGCTGCAAACTTCCATTTTCAGCATCATGATGAGTTTTACACCTCAAGAGAACTTTCTATGATAGCATTGTGTGGAGTTGCCAGATGGAAACCTTTTCTGATGTTACAACAATGGACGCGGAAAACCTAGAGAGTCCACGTAAAATCTACATGATTTTGCAACTTGATAAGTTTCCTCGCATAGTTTGTTTATAAAACATACATACCAAATGCCTTTCATTGAATAAAGTCCTCTGCAGACGTAAAGTCCATAATCCATGAATTACACAAATCAAATATCCAAATGAACAATTACACTCTCTGGCTCTTGAATTGCCCTCTATGTTCATCTAATATTTATTCAGAGCTTTGCACTCTGCGGCCAAGCATGTGTGGCTCGAGGACCACACAATTAGTGGTCGGATAAAGTGAATGGAGTTCAACTTCTTGTTCCGCTCTTGTGAGTTTAAAAGTTGGTGGTGAAATGTGCTCCTGAAGGGTGTTGAGCTCGATTCAACGCAAGACGAACTCTTTCATCAATTGCACATTACAATTGAAATGAGATCTAAGACAGCCCATCCGTAAACTTCCCTCAAGGTAATGCCTGGATCGTCGCTTCTGGCAGGGCGGAAATTAAATTTCAAATTTCAACAGTTGTCTGAAAATTTCAACACACGCCCCACCTTCATATGCATGTTCCCCATGCTCCAATTGCCGGTTGGGGCAAGTGAGAAATTCGTACCCACTGTAACATATTCTTTATCCACAACAATTTCAACGAGTGTGCTCGCATTTCGAGCGAGGGAAAAGTCCAAAAGCAACCAACAATGCCACATAGAAAATGTTGAAAATGTAAATTATTGCGCCAAAGTGGATGTATGTATAGAGGTTTATGCCTCGTACACAATTAATTAATCTACTCTCGAGTTACAATACCGAAGGTTCAAGCACCAGGATGTGCTGTGTTATTAATTAAATTCGAGATTTGTGCTCAACATGAAGAAACCTCAAATTAGCTATTAGAATGCCTCCAAGACATTAAGCTGGCAGATTGAATATCTTTCAGTCTCGCCCGCCTGAGAGAAGTATTACCTTACTTTCTCAAAGTTCAACATACTCTAAAAGAGAAACATTTCGTGCAAATTGCATATTCCTTCTCCAAATTGCTGATAACTCGAGGCTATAGATTGAGTTACAGAAAGAACATTAAATTTTGTATTCATTAACAGTCTGTAATTATTAAATCAAACATTTGCAGGATGCACAACCATCAATATTTTATGAACATTTTGGAAAACATCACACTAATAAATGTTTGTTCTAAACTTTCATGCGATATATTTATGAGATAAATAATGATATAAAAGATACAAGTAAATGCAAAGTTTATTATTAAAATTATACAAGCATCAACAATTTCATTAATGGAAATTTATACGATGTAAAATAATTAAATTAATCACAAAAGTTCATCGTTTACCTTTTAGCTAAATATCCGAAATAGAATTCAGTGTGCATTTAGATTACCTAGATTATTACAGGTTAATGAAAAATTTCAATTTAACATCCAAATAGTCAACTAATCCAAATAGTCAACAGTGAGTTTCCCATTAAATCGTAATTCACCGAATTGTGTGTTTTAAACAAAATTAACCACACTGAGGACAGGAATTGTCAAAACACATTCAACTTGTCGGCCTCAGAAAGTGTGTCTTTAATTCAGCTTTGCAATCTGCAAATGTGAGCGAATAATAATTGCCTTGGATGAAATGTAGAGCTTTGCGATTTCCACACTCTGGGAAAATTTATGTTCGCGTGGCGCTCTTTAGGGAATTTTTGTCTCCGGCCCCAGAATAATTGGATTGAAAGCCCTAAGCGAGATAAAAGCAGAAAAAACTGGGCAAGTAATCACGGAGATGCAACATGAGATCATTAGATGGACAATTAACTCCTATTTTATGGCCTCAACAATGCTAAACGATGTGTATAGAGAGACCATTTTAGAATAGCACTGTAATGTCGTTTATCCGTCTGTCCGTCTGACTACAATCATCTTGGATTGATTCATTTCTATCAACTCAAATCGCGTTTCAAGAGCTTTCTAAAAATACCCCTCAGAGATGCTTAGTGAAGAGCTTTAAGCACTTTGCTATTATTAAAGCCTCATTAAAATTCCAATATCAGAAGACGGAGAATTTTCCTACGAAGAAAATCTCTATTCTGACCCATTAAAGAAGTAGAAAAAAGTTTAATAAATATACCGAGAGTCTTTCATCGGATATGGAAATTCAATAAACTCATGCTAATTGTAAGCAAAACACAATTACTCGATGGATTTCTTGCCATAAGAATTGGATTATAGGGTCGAAGGGAGAGGAATTGCGCTGGAAGTGGGGGGAAAAATGCGGGAAGTTTAGTAATTGGGGAGGAAGAAATATAGAAATGTAATTCAACGAGATGATATTGAGATGGTGAGACAGGTAGTCGATGGAAATCAATTTCACCACTTAATTGGCTTTCGTCGACGCAAGAAGCAAGGCGGTGGAAAAGAAATGGGAAAACTTTCAACTCCTTCAGAGTAGCAACATTCTCATAAACATAATATTTTATTGGCTAAATGAGAAAGTAAAGTACTCCAAGTGTGACAATATTTGGATTAAATGTGACTCACGCAGTATAGTATTAATTTTAGAGACTAAAATTACTATAACATCATTTACAGATTCACGGGGATTTTCTTGTATTAAAAGCATCGTCATTCTTTATTGTTTTCTCCTTTACGGTAATCGACAAGTTGATAAAATTCATCCTGTGGAACAAGAATCAATGGCAAATTGAATGTGCAATTTTTTCATGGCAGCTTTTTGTGAGCGAAGTGATTCGTTTCGGGCATGAGTTGCCTTCTTGAGAAGTTGAGGAAAATCACAGCTCAAGATAAGCGACGAGCGATGATAAAGAGAAATCAGAGATAAGACGTCATATGAGCGAGAATGTGCCAGAAGGACGGCCATTTCATAGGAAAAAAAACAATTATAATACATATTGTCATTATATGAATTGTTGGCATGTCAATCTGAGCGTCAAAGAGTGCGAATTAGGTGAATTTACACGCAAGATTAACGACACTTTATGGTTATTGGATTTTTCCACCAATTCGCACCTTCCAGGCATTGCCAAAGCCGATGGGGATAGAACCGGTAAGGGCAAAAAATTTAGACCAAAAACACTTTCATACTCAACCCGATCAGTGGAAAATGCGACGCAGACCACATCAGTCTGTCGTATGAAGTGACCAAGTGAGCACGTGCTTTAGAGGAACTTCCTCTTCTTTTGTGATCAGATAAGGCTAAGGCAAAAAAACACAGTGCGAATTGAAGTGGAACTTTTATTCAAACACACAGACTCTATCAAAGGACTGAAAAACCAGGATTTCTCATTATGAAGTACGGTAGTGTCGAACACGTGGATGATCCTCGGGAGCCTCGCGCGAAGGTGAATGTATTCCCACATGACAAATGGCAGATTCTCAAAGATATTGTGACCATTTCGGTGGCCTTTATGATGCACTTCACGGCCTTCCAAGGCGTCGGGAATCTCCAGTCATCGATAAATGCTGAAAATGGCTTGGGAGTGACATCCTTGAGTGCAATCTACGCCGCCCTGATCATCTCCTGCATCTTCATTCCCACCCTCATGATCAGAAAGCTCACAGCCAAGTGGACGCTGTGCGTCTCGATGCTGTGCTACGTTCCCTACATCGCCTTCCAGTTTTACCCGCGATTCTACACCCTCGTTCCGGCAGGAATCCTCCTGGGTCTCGGAGCGGCGCCTATGTGGGCGGCCAAAGCTACTTATCTGACGCAAGTGGGCCAAGTGTACGCCAAGATCTCCCATCAGGCCGTCGAGGCAATCATTGTGCGCTTCTTCGGCTTCTTCTTCTTTGCCTGGCAAACCGCCGAACTCTGGGGAAATCTCATCTCAAGTCTAGTTCTCTCCAGCGAAAAGGAGAGCAAAGATAATGTGACGATTGACTTGGACATTTGTGGTGCCAATTTCTGCACAGCTCATGTGAATGAGAACCTAGAAAGGCCTCCGGATGCTGATATCTACAAGATCTCAGGAATCTATCTAGCCTGCATCATCATAGCTGTGGCCATAATTGCGATCTTCTTAGATCCTCTGTCGCGGTACGGAGAAAACCGACGAGGATCAGTCGCCGCCAAACCCACTCCGATCAGGACTCTTATGATTGCCACGGCGAAGCAACTCAAGAAGCCTAACCAGATCTTCCTGATCCCCATCACGGTGTTTATTGGAATGGAACAGGCCGTCTTGGCAGCGGATTTCACACAGGTCTGACTTACACTGCTGAAATTATTACCAATTACTTTATTTTTTTGCCAAATTATTGAGCACATGTGCGCGGTTTCTAATGGAAAAAGTGAGCGCTAAAATGTCTTAATTGGGAGATAACTGACTTTATTCTGATGAAACTGGAAACATCTGGAGTTTGTCACATAGATTATCTTCTGTGTTTATCACAAAACCACAAGCCGAAAATTACTGTAAATTTCGTAATAATTTCTCCAACTAAATTTTGGGTATAACTTGGTGATTGTTGAAAATACGTCAACACCTCGAAATTTCAAGAATTTCTACAATGAAATTATCAACGATGCTCTAATCTCCACATAATTAACTTTTCTGATGAATGTTCTGATTCAATTAGTGCGTCACTCACGAGACAATCCATAGACTCACAATTTCTCTGACTCACACCCGCATGTTGTCTCTTGCAGGCCTTTGTTTCCTGCGCCCTGGGAATTCATCTTATCGGATACGTGATGGTGTGCTTCGGCGTGGTTGATTCAATCTGCTCCATCATCTTCGGGTCAGCAATGAAAGTCATCGGCAGGATTCCAATCATCTTGCTGGGATTCATTCTGCACGGATCTCTGCTGCTCATGATGCTCTTCTGGCGGCCGAATCCCGAACAACCCATGATCTTCTTTGCAATCTCTGGCCTCTGGGGCGTTGCCGATGCTGTGTGGCAGACACAAATCAACGGAATGTACGGAGCACTCTTCAGGCGAAACAAGGAAGCGGCCTTCTCGAACTTCCGACTCTGGGAATCCATTGGCTTCGTCGTGACGTACGCCAGTTCGGCGGCCATGTGCGCTAAAATGAAACTCATTGTTCTGCTCCTTGTGCTTCTGGCCGGAGGCATTGGCTGGGTGATTGTGGAGGTTCGCCACAAGCATCGCGAGGAGAAACTGAAGGCCATGCACGAGGAGAGCAACGGCAAGATGATTGTCCATCATCATCCAGTGCCCACAGAGGAAAGCAACGGACATGTGGTCTACAGTGAGGATGAGGAGGAGCGAGACGACGAAGATGACGAGCTGGATGAGGACATCAACGTCCAGGAAGAACCGACTCCCGAAGGCCTGCGATTCAACTTCTCCATCATCAGCTTCACATCCATCACATCCAATCCGAAGCATTGAATTTACAGACAGTGTATTATTGAGATATTTTTAATAAAATTATTTATTAGGCACAAAATACAATTCCTATTCACTGTCTGCTCGCTTTTATCTCAAAGCGCACACCCATTAAACCCCTTCACACCCGTGAAACCTTAGTGAGAGTCGGTGTAATCTTATCACTCCTGCAGGTGCTAATTTTATTCACTGCGAAGAAAAAATCCCTAATTAATTAAGTCCATGAGAAGCATGAGAAGACGTTTTTCTCCCATTCTCCCCTTTCCACCTTTTTTATCTAGCCATTTAATGAAAGAAAACCTTGGGAAAGTGTCCCTCTTTTTGAAGAATAAAATGGAATTGTTCGATTGGAACTAAACTTTTCACCTCAATCAGCGTTTCGCGTAATTAATTCACATTGAAAACCATGAATTATTCTTTCGGTCATGATATCGACTCTCTTCCGCTGAAAGCTCCGTTTTTTCGCCTAAGAATTGTGTATTTTGATTAATTATCACGTTGTTATCGTGCCCGATCGATAAAGAAGAAAATACAATAAAAAAAAATCTGTGCTATTTTAGACACTTCTTCAGTTATATTTTCCACTCTTTATTCTTGACTGACTTTTCTTAGTTATCACGCTATAGCATGCTAATGGATTAACCATTAGATGAAAATGTTGAGAAGAATCATACGTCATTAAACGCACGTATAACTATCCGAATTTCTGCTAAAATATACAGCACTTTTTGAGATATTTTCACACAATATAAGTGAACTTGCTGATATGTCGCGAAGACAAATTCCCTGGTAATCCCGCTTCTCTATTGATAATTTTCACTCACCACTCTTATATCGTTCAGTGTAGAGAATGACAATAAATCACGTGTGATGGAGAAAAAGTGATTATCGATGCCACCGCTAACCAAATTATCGCGTCATGTTTCAAAAATGTCTCGTGAATTCAGCCAAATTTATCAGTCTTCCCGCTCAAACTCTATCATTGCCTCGTGCTTCTTATCAAAAATAGATGTTTTCGGCGGAAAAAAAATGATTCAAGTGTTACCATAAATTTCCTACGCAGTACAATTTTGAGTTTAAAAGTCTCGTTCATCGTGAAACAGCCTTTTATGTCTGTGTTGAAAAGCATGAACATTCAAACTGATATGCATGAGTTGCTAATCAATCTTGATTGAATTGAGCATTCACAATCTTACAACTCATTGAAAGTTCCTCTTGACTTGATCACGAGACGTTAATTTAAGCTAGTTTGCATCACTTTTCGTTCTATCTTTCGTGGAAGTTACATTACACATACTTTTTGGCGTAAAGCCTGAGTTAATCCACAGAAATTTTGCGAAAGCTTCCGACGATCGCCGTGTCGAGATCAGCATCGTAACTGTTGCCAAAGTTCACAGCTGTATTGGAGACTTCAATATCCAAGTCGCCGATGGCGAGAATTTCTTCTCGGGTCTCAAGGAGGTTTTTCTTGAACAATTCATCTATCTTTGCTGATGGAGTTTTGCCACCAATTTCCTCCGGAAAGATGTCTCTTCCCAAATCATCGAATACTTCCTGCCAGCCATTAACTGTCTATATAAAGCGAAAAAACGTTTATAAAAACTCGATTTTTTTTATGTCAGCAAGTCTCTCACCTTAATTCGCTCCTTAAGCTTATTGCTGATAAAAGTTTTGAAGAGGTTTAGCGCAACGTTCGCGAAAGAGGGCATGTTAACTAAATAAATCTTTGCAAAGCTGATAGGAAAGGTTTTTTGCCAGCACTGAGAGAATTCCTTGATCTTCGCTGGTGTCCACATGGCCACAAAGGCAAATTCTTCATTTGTGCAATCAACCACCTTAACCACTCCGTTGGTTTGTGACCTTGCATCGATGCTTAAGTGTTCAAATAAAACATTGCACATCCTTAAGCAATCCAAGGCTGTGCATTGCTTCGGATCCATTTGTCCCACATCAAAAAACAGTACATTACGTCCGTGCTTGTCCACCTCGGGAAGAATATAAACACTTTTATTCTGAATGAAGAAATCAATCTCTGGTGATTTGAAGTCGAGGTTCTCGAATATACTCGGCAGCATCTTCCTCCTAGATAAGTAGTTCACAAGCAATTGGCACGCTTCAGTTACACAAAACTTCCTTGCTCTCAGGAAACGAAGAAGGAATTGATCGTCCGTTCGGCACTTCCTTATCTGCGGATGTTTCGATATCCATTCACGAAACTGATTAAGAGCTTGCGCTCTAAGATTTTCATCGTCGCGCGCGTTTAGTGAGGTTTTATCCATATTTTAATTAAAAGAGACTTTTCCAATTAAAAAAGCAGCGAGTGTGTGTATCAATTGAGGAGAAAATTGTGACTGAAAATCATTGCAACTCCTGGGAAAACAATTTCTTAAGAAAATTTTTATATAAAATGTGTGGAAGCGAATCAGAGTTGTTATGATTTAAACACAAAGATTAAGTGACGCATTTTTCTTTAAAATTCATTTTTCGCTATCAAGTTTGTGCATTTCATTATAAAGATTATTTTATTCAATTCAAGAATTTTGCATAAATTATGGTAAAAATTTGTGAAATTCGTTATCTATACAAACAATTCAACTCGAAAGTGTATATAAGTTCATATTCATTTATCATTTATTCAGCAAGAAACTCACCTTCGCAAAATTAATTCGCATACTATCTCTTAGTGCTTCAATCATCTTACAGTCTCTCTTTACACCTTTAATGGGTAGTTTTATTACATTTGAATGTGTTAATGTGTGTGAAACACTTCAATATGCTCGCGGTTAAAGTGCCCTTGACCATGTTATGCTAGAGAAACCTTCTCTGCTCGCGCTTTTGGCGATCCATATCATCATGAGGACTGAATTGCGGAGCATTATAGGCCTAAAACTCGCAACTTAATCACCACAAGAAGAAACACATAAAATACAATAAAAAAAAAGAGGAAAAAAAGTTTTTATTAATTCTACCGTATACAAAAATTTTAAATGTTCTCTTGTTTCCAGCTCATTTATAATTTGTAATTAATTATCTGTTTTGTGACATCCACGCAGCACCAAATCCAGTCCCAAGTGAAAATACTGATACTGAAAGTATATACAATTAATCTCATGCAAGATTAATGATCTCCTGTACAGTTGCAGTGCTAAAGTCTGAAGCATAAATTACCATTTTAATTGTTCAATTGATACAATACTGCATGTCAATCAACTTGGATTTTTCTGAAGCTTCCGACGATCGCTGAGTCTAGGTCGGCATCGTAACTGTTGCCGAAATTGAGGTCAACATCAGATACATCAATATCGAAGTCATTGAGAGCAAGAATTTCTTCGCGGTGCTTCTCGGCCAGTTCAATAACTTTCTTTGCAATCTCTTTACGAGGAACTTTCCCACCGCAATCGCTAGGCAAGATCGATGCACCTAAGTCGCCATGGACGCTCTCCCAGTCCTTCACCATCTGAAAGACGAAGAACATGAGTCGAAGAATATGTAATTTGTGGAAAAACTCCGGGCATTACGTAAATTCGATCTCTCAGCTTCTCACTCAGACAAGATATTACGAGCTTCGAGAACGCCAATGAAAAGGCTGGCATGTTGACGAAGAAAAAAGCTCCATGACGCAATGGGAAGGTTTTTTGCCAGCAACGAGTGAAGTTCTTTGTCTGTGAGACCGTCCACATCCCCATGAAAGGGAGTGTGAGCTTAGCCCAGTCCATGACATGAGCAATGCCGCAGATTTGAGATCTCTCATCGAGGTTAGCCAGCTCCAGGATCAGATTCGTGGCTCTGATCCCATCCACAGTCGTGTACTTGTTCGGATCATAGTGCTCAGGATCGAATGTGATCACAAGGCGTCCCTGCTTGTCCGGCTCTGGCAGAAGCATGACGCCGCCACTCGAAATCAAATGACGAATAGCCGGATCAGACAGTGAAAGGTTATCGAAAAGCTGAGGTAGAACTTTGCGCGTTGTGAGATACTTCTCGAGCAGCTGACAAGCTTCCGGGACAGAGAATTTCTTTGTCCGAAGGAATCTCAAGAGGAAAACATCATCCATACGACACTTCTTGATCTTTGGGTGCTTGGTAATCCATTCTCTGAACTGTTCAAGAGCCTGGCATCGCAGATTTTCATCCTCTCGCAAGTTTTCCCAAGCTTTCTTCTTCAATTCATCACTCAATTTGCTCCCGTCGTATTTTTGCGACATTGTTGTCTACCCACAAATTTCACCACTTAACAATTTTGGAGGTGTTAATCCATTCAAAGATCACCGGAGACTGAAACTTGATCGCGACGAGCAATAATGAAGTGGAAGAAAAGAGTGCAAAAACACCGCTCGCAAGGTTAGCCGAATGTTTTAATTTTATTCGTTTTCCATGCCTAATAAATGCTCGTGTGATGATGTAAAGTGGGAAAAAATACTCGCTTACCATAGAATAATAAGTGTAATTGTAAATTGCCCTTCCATTTCAGATGGCAATCTATAATATGATGTCTGGCTGAACACATGAAAAGACAGAGGAAGGAACTCAAAAGCATATTGTATTCTTCATAATTTCATTATTAATTGGGTTTTAATTCGACAATGAAGAGGAAATCAATTAAGATTTGATACAATTTCTCAAGAATGTTGTATTATTTTCGGAAATCCCAAATATTCAGTGAAAAAGAGTGAATTAAGAAATAAATCACTGGGAAGTGTGCTTAATGCTCAATTCTTGTCGAAAAATGAGAAGAACTCAACAAAATCACAGCAAAAAATCAGTCGATAAAGAGAAGAAGTGAAAACTAGCCATAAAAATCACGAAACTCGTGGCATCAACATTTGTACAATGTTTCTCTTCTTATCGAAATCACGGATTCAGTGTTTGGAGAAATCTTTCAGCAAGAAACTTTTTAGCACATATACATAATATAACTTTATGTCAGCACATACTATAGAAATCAATAGTATTCCACTCCGTAAATCGCTACGAAATTTCCTTCTACTTGAATAATTGATACAGAAATTATTTCGACGAATAAAGAGGACGACTGATGATAAAAGTTTCTGTTAACTAATCAACGTTGTTTTTGTGAGTTGTATCGCTTGCATTATTTATCTTCCAATAGGTTTATGCATTGCAATTTACAAGTTTTTTCTCCCCTTGGTAAACACTGAAAAAATCATCAGTTTCCGAGCATTGCCCAATCATATTAAATTTCTCGCGCATTTTTATTCGAATGGATACAGTTTTTGTCCCAAAACCACCAGCAAAAATCCCTCAACAGTGGTAAATTTACATGAAATCAACTGAAATTTTTACTCCACTGCTGAAATGATGTTTTGTCAGTGCAGAAAAATATTTCAATAGCACTTTAGCACGATTTTCCTCTAAATATTTGATGCAATTTTCAATGGGATGCTGAACAATAATGAATATATGAACAAATTGTCGAATACGGGATGCACTATTTTTTTTATGAGTTATGTTTATGTGCAAAAAGCATGAATTGTGGGGGGGGGGGTGAAATTGAGTTTATATTGAATAATCCTATTTTTGATGCTTCGCCGCTGCGGGACGCTTTGGGTTTTAAATAGGCACAGTCTGATGAGATGGGGCAGAGGCGGTTTAGTTGATGGGGAGAAAAATATGGGGAGCATTCTCGATGGCGTTTACAAATTAGCCAATCTACGGGTAATTTATCATTTCTGCTCATTCTGTATGGATATAGTGTCCGACGGCATTAGTCCTTTCTCGTTCGCATTCCGCTTATGATCAAGGGCCATGGTCGCAATTGGTCGCAATTAATTACATGCTCACTTTAGGAAGAGATCCAACCCGAAAAGTGAAAGTTCCTCTCCTTCGAAGCACCCCCACAATGACTTCGGTGAAGTTGTCGATTTGTAACTTTCTTGGGGAGCTTTTAAAGTTTCATTATTGACACATTTCCTCACATGAGTTTCTCGCAACATTCCAGCAATCCTTTCGCCCGCCCATCATTTTTTATGGTGTCTCTACAAAAGAGAAAGTGAAGACGACCTCTGCGGAAAGACCCGCCATGAGGCTTTGCTGATGCTATAAGAGAGTTATCTTATCTCAGTCGTCATAAGATGGATCGGTCTGTAAAATTTATCATGTGTATGACATATTTGTCTGTATCCTAAAAATTTACATACCAGCAAATGCTGGTCTTTTAAAAAAAAATGTTTATATCGAGAAAACAGAGAGGAAAAATGGGTTGTTTTTTCACTCAACTCTTTTTTGTCGTTCTCACGCTATCCCAACAATTTTCCAGACAATTTTCCCTTTTTCACTTCGCCCGAAGACGATTTTTGCTGTGAGCAGAAATTGTCTGTAATTTAATTAATGCCATCCGATGAAGGGTGAGAAATGGTCAATTGCTATAATGTTATTTTCGGTGAATTTGCAAGCGGAAAATCACCCAGACAAACTGAAATTGGTGAGGAATTGAGAGTAATTGGGGAGGATTAATAAATGTGTGTGATAACTGACGTCGACTAGGTCAATGGATTAATAAAATTTAATTACAGTAATTGCCCTCAGGGAAACTTTAAGGGCGGTGAGCAGGACGGTTCTTGCTAAGGAAGATAAGTAGAGGGAAATTAGAAATTATATTTTATCAAACGGGGTATTCTCACACTCTCATCTTGGTTTATCAATTTTTTCCACAACTTCTCAGCGTGAAGACCAAAGCGAGAAAGTGTAATCTTTTACGACTTGCAACTCTTGCAACAATGTTGCAGAACTTTAAGTGCAATTGAAGTTTTTACGAGGTGAGAGACAGAAAGAAAGACGAGAAAGCAGACATTGTTTTAATCCATGGCATTATAGTCTATCCACCGTGAATTAATCCGCAATGGAGAAGCACGTGAATATGAGTTATGCACCAAACAGTCGGTTAAAGGAAATTGTGTTGATAAGTGCCAGAGCTTTTAACGGATACGCTTGATGAGAGAGGGAGAGAGGTGGGTGCTTTTATATTTGAAAGAGTACGGCAAAAAAGGTGGACTGGCGGTTGCGACATGAATATTTAAGCAATGGAGGACTGGCTGGGAATTATCTCACAGAGTGGATGGATTGGATGGAGACTGAACTCTTGCAGAAACTGTTGATGAGACTGCCTGACCCGGAAATGAGCTTTTGAAGCCATGAATACTAAAATGTCGATTATTCACCCAATTGACACTCAAGCGAAATCACATATTGGCTACACGATGCTTTTTGCATTGGCGTTGCCAACAGAATCACAATTAAATTGAATGACCGATTAACTAAGTCACTCGAGTGCATGAATCTTTGTGCTGAATAGTCACATTTCAGAACCAGTCTCAGCTTTTCCAATTATAAGTAAGCAGAGTTTATAAATTTCTGATGTTCAAGTTTTATTCCAGATTTGCTTTTTATATTTCAAATTAACCAAAAACTTGGTCAGCTTTTGACATGAAAATCAAGCAATTTCGACAGACTTTTCGTTTGTAAAAACTCAATAAAAGCTCCCCCAGGAAAGCACCCTCGTAATTTCCTGTCATTTTCGACAATTGCCAGCGGTAAGGATGAGAAGCGGATATCTCGCTGCGCAAATCTTTAAGGTTTCATTCGTCGCATATTGAAAACGGATTATGAAGTATCATCAAAATAATCTCAATTCCCATTATATGATTCGTTGACTTTTTTTGCATCTTATATTCATTCGATTTTGGCAACATTCCACTTTGTATGATCCAAAGCGCGCTCCAAATTAAATTTCAATCAAAATTTACCATTTCATTGTCGACACACTCTCTGTGCGAATCCAATCTCAGGTTCAGACAAGTTGGTCCAGCCCAGTCCGCCCACCGGAGCCCTCAGGAGGTGGCTCAGCATAGAAAGTAGATGTAGAAGTTGAATAAAAGAGCTCCACAAAGAGAGCCAATTCAGCGCTTAAACGATTTCATTTACTGCTATTTGTCAATGGCCCGAGGGTGATTCTCCAGAACTATTTCACCCTCAACACAGCACATTTCCCACCCCTTGGAAATCGGTTGCTTCCTGAGAGGTTTGGGGCTGTTTCCACCGCGCGAGATTGACTGTCATAATTAACCTTTTTTAATTACATTTTCATGTAATAAAATTCATTGTTCGGAAGTAATTTTGCACGGTGGAGCGGTAAACAGGCGGCTTTCCTGGGTGGAGGCGTAAAAAAAGAGATTGCTCACTACATTAGAAATGACGGGGCTGCTCTTTCCCCGGGGGCGAATGATTTGCACAACAGCCAGATAATTTTAATGATCATCCCCTGTTCAGCGAGGCGTTGGCAATAATTCAATGTGAAGCCGAAACAGCTCTTTGTGTCACACCATTAATCCACGCGCGGCGGATTTCTGGGCAAGAAGTGGCGGGCATCCACTGGGTAATCAGTCAAGAACAGGCGTTATACGCATAAATCCCACCAGTGGCCACGCACACTCACATTTTCAATACAACACCTCGCGCCTTGCCGCGTGGAGGTACACCATCGTGGTGAGCAGACGTCCCGCAATCAATACTCCTTTTCACCCCCATAACGCAGTCCATTCTTCTGAGACGCCTTGCGTGGGGCGTCGCGTCGGGGTTGGGCGGACAAATGTGCCCATTTTGCATAACGTGAGAAAGGCAAAAAAGGCACGACAAGAATGTTGGGGCTCGTATATAAATAAGTCATTCAAGTTTTATGAACTATGAAGAATAAATTCTGTTTCTACTTTTCTATCCAACTCCCTATCTATATCCATTCACCCTCAGTCGTCCCATTTGAGGAATGCTGATAGAAAGTATAGGACTCCTATTGCGAGAAGGCATGAAATGATAAAGTTTTCCGTTTCCATTACATTCCTGCTTCTGTGCGCCAGCGAAAAAGAGCACAACTCGTGGAGTTTACATCTCGTCAATTCGAGACACGTCTAAGAAAGTGATATATCTGACAAGGGAATGAAAATGAAGCTCACTCGGCTGATTCAAATATCACTTCTCTCTATTGCCATTGAGGAAGGGTATCAAATATTTTTCACACACGAGAAATTTAACGATATTTCATTTCAACGTCCAACTGTTGAAAAGTGAATACACACCCGCGGAAGCGCCCTTAGCTTACATTCAGGCATCTTGACCACCCTCCGTGACAACGTGACCAGAGGAATGTGGTAAGATTTCTGTGAAGACACTGGAGCAGTTCATCAGGCACGCTCGCACAGCAAGCTGCCAAGAAAATGCGTCTTTATGTGAAATGCGAGATTGCCAAAGTGATTTTCTGAGGGCATCGTGCACATTTCTCCCCACAAT